AAGGTTTGATAGTCTATCTTAAGTATCAAGTATTTTTGCCAGCTTTCAAAGGAGTTTTTAATATCCTGGTAATCTCTTTAAATGTTTCATGTATTCTAGATCTTTTTTATATTCTTCATTGAAAGTTTCCCTACTTTTTCTATGCTCCTCTACTCTTCCGTGTCTTTAGAGGCGCTTAGCAATTGTTTTATGTTTCTCATTTCTTCTCTTACCTGAGATAGTATTTCTGTTCTAAGTTCTTTAATAGCCTCATGAAGTTGTTTATTTATGTCAGATGCTGTTGCTTCAGAAACTTCAAGGTATGTGAATCCCAATCTCTTCCGTGTTTACATCTCCTGGACCAGTATTCCTTGGGTTGGGGGCCAAAGACTGCCTTTTGCTTCTTTCTCTTGTCATGTTCCTGGTTTCTTCTAGACAAGTGGGCAATGGGGTCCCCAGCACTTCCTGTGTTTGTTATAATTTCTCTGAAGCATGCTGGCTAAGGGTACCGGATGGTGACCATTGGGTGTGCTGGTGTGGGGCTGTTTGCTGCTTTTCCCTCGGCTGGTGGCTACTGGAGTGCAAGCAGGGATAGGAAAGGCTAGCATCTCCCTCCTGAGCTGGTTAACTGCAGGGAGCCTTCACCAGGTATAATCCATGTAGTGCAGCAGAGCTGGTTGGGGATAGCTTTAGGGAAACCTTGGTGGTAGCTGTTGTACCATGCGCAGGGGTAGGACTCAGTCCAAACAATTTCCACCAGTCTTCTCCAAACTAGGAGTGGCTGAATGAAGCTGGCTATAGTTCTGGCTCCGAGCTTATCCTGCCCGACTCCAAAATGGCATCCAGGCAATCGTTCATTCCCAAGGGAGGACTGAGTCCCCTACACTCACTGCCAGCCAGTGCAGTTCTCCAGTCCGCTGCTCTCCTCAGCCACCGTGTCTCCCCAGAGAGGCCTTCAGGCTTGCCAGCCACCAGCTCCACTGTGACCACGTGTCCCCAGGTTCCAAAAGTGCTTCTCGCACAGTGGGTCTGGCTCTGGGAGAAGGCACCACCAGTTTTTTCTTTTTTTTATTCTCTCTGTGGGCTTCAATTCTTACTCTATAGATTCTTCTTGGGTTTGGGGACCTACCTCCTTCCTTCTTGTCTTCTCCAGAATGCTATATTCCAGCATCTGGACTGTTTCTCCCAGACAGGCTGTTTACTCTGCCTTTACTGTTCTGCTATCTTCCCAGAAATCCAAATTTGCCATATCAAAGCCCTAGATGATTCTACAGTAGGATTCTGACTCAAAAATGTTATTTCTGAGAATTTCTGCTCTAGAAATATATTATGTGGAATGTGTTTCCTTCTATTTCTGAAATTCTATGATCCCATCATTCTAAGAAACCCACTAAGTATAAGGGGGATCCTAAAACAAGTTATTTTTAAGTCACAAAGCCATAAATCCATAATGGAAAGAAGTTGACAGAGGAGATAATTAGGTGCAGGCAGATCACAAAGGCAGCTATTAACCCTCCCTGTTCCTGTACCTGAAATGGCAGTCTTAATATAAAAGATTCCTGGCTATTTAAGACACAGTGGTCACATTCAATCTCATCTTAATTCAAAGCACAAATTTCTTCATCATAACAGGAACCAAGAACAAAAACAGAGAAAAGGACCCACTGCTGGAGGGTTATTTGTTCTCTCTGATGATCTGACTAATGCTTTCTAGGACACCCCCCCCCTCCCCTCGAAGTTTGTTATACTCTCTACCTTTCCTGTTTTCAGTCCTGGAACAAAGTGGCGGTGCAAATGTTCTAAAACACCAAAATCATATCTGTGACAAATATTTCCAACCAAAGCTGGGGCTCAACCCCAAATGCTTCTCTTACCCCCATGTCTTTGATGTCCATGTCATCTTTTGGACATGCTTTCCATAAACTCAGGACACATTCTATGCCAGCCTCAAGAATGTCCCTTATTCAGATCCAGTATTGTAACTGCCAGGAAATAATCACTTACACTTTCAAAGATGTCTAGAAAATGGTATCAAAAAGAATGCTAACTAGGAAGTAGAGTTAACAAAATATGTTTAGACTAGGGCGATAGCTCAGCAGAGCAGTACTTGCCTGGCAAATGTGAGGATCTGAGTTCGATTCCAGGTACTCAAAAAAACACCTTTAGGTAACATGTACATAGTATTTGCTTCATTTTTAAAATGTCAGTCATCTGAAAATTTTATGCTCACAAGTCCCATAATCTGAGTACTAAGAATATCCTGAGTTTGAGGGCAAAGACAGGGATGAACAGGTAAAGGATGAGCCTTAGGAGAAGCCCAGTGTTCAATGAAATATCATTTGGCTGCCAAGAGCTCTTCCTGGCTTTCAAATATATAAGTAATCTCACTCTTCACAAAGTGAGTAAGTTGGTGCGGAAGAGATCCAAAGTGAAGGAGATAATCAAGAGTCTAGCAAGGCCAAACTTGCTAGGGTTGCTAAAGGTCAGGATGTCTAGAACAAGTCGTGGTCATGGGCTTATCTCACCCAGCAACCAGACTCCCTTCTTGAACCTGCACGCCAGAAATGTGGAATTCTGTAACCAGGAAACATGAATGCAGATGGGGACGGCAAGGATTGGGACAGTTTCTGGACAGGTATGTTCCAAGGGTTTTCTCCCTTAATACTTTGGCAGAAAGATATTACTGTTAGCTTTTTTACCACATGCACAGTCTCAGGATGGTAATAAGTTAATACTCAGGAACATCTTTTAAAATTTGAGTCCTTTGGGGTCATATTCTTTAAATGTTCTCACTACATTGAAGTGCATATGACGTCACAAGATAAATGAGACAGATATTACTACTTCCACCTTCTAGGTTAGAAAACTGAGGCTCAAGAATTACAGGAAAAAGTCACATTTCCCCACTCTAAAGCCACCATGAGGTCCTAGAGTCACAAAATGAGGACAGCATATCTGAGTAGCAGCATAGCACAAAGCCTTTTAAGCCTGTTTCTTCTCCCATACCATAGTTATAATCATTGCCAGCTATCATGAACAGGGTGATTGCTGTGGTTAGGCACTGTACCAAGGACATATGCACATCATCTCACTCAATCCTGCGAAGCAAGTGCCACGCCATAGAAAACCAAGGTTCAAAGAGACTGAACATGCAGGTCACACAGCCAGGAAGCAGTGGAGCCAGCATGAAATAATGTTCTCCAGCTTGAGTTCACCCTCACCCATTTGCTATGCTGCCTTGCGAGCCAAAATGACTAGGGAAAGGCTTGCCAGCTTCAGATTTTAAATTGGCTACTGCCAGTGAATGAGTCTGGCTATGCTAGAGGGCAACAGGCCCTTACCCCAATCCCATCTGAATGATCACCTCAACCCCAAAGATACTGAAGAGCCAAGAATCACCCAATACGCTCCCCCCAACCCGCTGCCGCCAACCCTAACCCAAGTATCTGAGAGGTACAAGTAACAAAAAGCTTCAGCAACACTCACTTTGGTTTGTTGGTGCTAGTTTGCATCCTCTCCCAGTCTCAGCTGGGGTCTTAGCATTTATTTGCCTTCTACTTTTAGTAAAGCCTATCCTGGTATTCCTTCTAGGGGTTTTTAAAATTTAAATTTATTGGTCAAATGTATTCATAATGACCTCATTTGGTACCAGTTTCTTTTCTAGGTGGCCTCTCAGTGACTTGAATGAACTAAAACACAGCCGTCTTATCTTCTCACTGCCTGTATTTTAGGTAGTCAAGGCAGGCAGACTACAATACACTTCACCCAAAGGACTCTTTAGAGACCCTAACCTCTACTGGAGAAAAGAGGCTCATTTTTCACAATCAATGTATACCAGGAAGCCCTAAGTCCATCTCTTTATAAGTGACAAACTGCTCCATTACCCTCTCTGTATTGGCTGCCTCTATCCCTTGACCTGTCCACATTTATCCTCTACCTTGTGGGGCAAGATTGGCAGTGCTTAAATTATTTCTTAACTGCACCTTGATTCAGCAGGTCAGAATAAGCTAATTGATTCAGCATCCATTCGAGCCATACAGCATGCTAACCTCTTGGCCCAATTTCCTTTTCTGTATGGCTGAGAACTGAGCAACAATTAGGTTCAATTTGCTCCACCACACTGTGTGACCTTAGGTAGTACCTTAACCTGTGCAGATCATGAGTGTCCTCGCCTGTTCACTGAGGTAAGAGTACTTCTGGCTCTGTAAGATTGCTATAAAGATGAGCAAGATAATGTATTTAGCACAGTGATCTTATATATAGTAACTACTCAATTATTCTGGCTATTGTTATGATCTGTGTTTGGCTGTCCCCACAAAGCCTCATGAAGCCATGGAGGTGGATGAATCTAGCGTTTGTGATTGGATTGTTGTCTAGCTGTGGGATTGGCAGTGTGAGTGCTGCACCCGCCCAGAGGCGGGGAGCCAGCATACAATATGGGGGAGAGAAGCAGACCTGCTATTCCCCTTTCGCCCTTTTTTGGTCTTATTGCTTGCATTTGCCATGAACTGCCTCTTAGTCACGCCACCCTGCCTTGGAGACAGCCAAGTATGGGCTGAACCCTCCAAAAACTATAAGCAAAATAAACCTTCCCTTCATTTTGGGTGTCAAGTATTTTGTTTCAGCAATGAAAGAAAAGTAACCAAGACAGCTATTATCATGACATAGGCCAAGGGTGCATGCCTGTAATCCAGCATTCCGGGAGGCTAAAGCCAGCGCTTCACAAATTTGAGTTAAATCTGGGCAATTTAGTGAGACCCTGTCTCAAAAGTTTTTTCAAAATATTTTTAAAAGGGCTGGGGATATAAAAATAAAAGCTCTGGGTTTAATTCTTAGTGCTGCATTAAAAAGTTTTACATATATATATATATATATATATATATATATATATATAGAGAGAGAGAGAGAGAGAGAGAGAGAGAGAGAGAGATTGACAAAGTTTGAAAGTATCCCCCATATAAATCCTGTGAAGTAGAAGCTGAGCCAAAGGCCAAGCCAAAATTAGATCCCAGCTGTCCTGGGTGGCTGTCATACCTCGTTTATACATGGTTTCCATTTAATTTGCAGAGCATATCTCACACTAACACAGGACAGGGCAATTCTGCCAGCACCTCTCCCACTGATTCGGAGCATCTCAATGAAGAATGATGGACCGAAGCCCTCTCAGACCTGAGGTAAGAGTACTTTTGGCTCTATAAGACTGCTGTAAAGATGCCCCTCTCACGCCCCTTCTGCTGCCAAAGTACCTGTTACTGAGAGAGGCAGAGTAGCCTACGTGCCACCATTTCTGCTTCCTAGTGCCTGTGAGAGGGACATTCAAACAGAGGACAGGACCAATGGTCTTTGTTAAATCCTTCCAAGAAGTAGGTTTCCTTGGCCCAAAGTTCTCCACTGTACATTCCCTGCTGGTTACTCAAAACAGAAGTCTTCTGCACCTTTCACCAATTTTTCCCCGCTGACCGGCGACATCTTGTAAAACTAAAGCATAGCTTCCCACTCAGGATACTGATTTTAAGACAACCCACCAATGTCCAGGGTTGTTTTCCTCATGCTCAATTTTGGGGTGTCTGCATGCCTGCACTTAGTCCTACTTGCTTTATTGTATGTATAGTTCCATGTGTCCACTATCAGTCAAGAGCCTCATCACTGTGGGGACCTCTCCAGCTGCCCCTCTACAGCCATGTTTACCTCCATCCCTAACCCCTGACAACTATTAATCTGTTTGCCATCTTTACAGTATTTCCAGTTATTGTTACACACATCAATTACACAGTAGGTAATCTTTTGGGATGAGCTTTTTTCTTACCCGATGTAATTCCTTCAAAACTCACCCAAGTTCTTGCATGTATCCATAGTTTGCCCGTTTTCAGTGATGACAGCAGTCTGTGGTGAGTCACAGATGGTTCAGCCATTCATTCAGCGAGGACATCTGTGTCACCTCCAGTTTGGGACTATCTCAGAGCTGCCACGCACACTCATGTCCTCCTTTTTCCTTTCTGATCACTAATTGATCCAGATGCTCCTTCTCTGCTGAGGTCTTTGCCCTGCTGTGGCAAACATGACTTGTCACCACACCATCATTTCTATGCCGAGTCTAGAGGCTCTCAATAATCCAGCCAGATGCTTCCATACAGATATGATCACTAGACAGCGCCTCTAAGCCTTTCCCCTCAGGGGAATAAAGTGCAGCAAGCGTGAGTCTGGGACCTACATAACTGAGACTCATGCTACAGAAGCAGAACTTGAAAACATCCCTTAGCCTTCTGAATGTCTCATAAATATCATCATAAAAAGGCTAATATTGAAGTTCCTTTACCAATAGCTTATGGTAGCAGTGAAGTGTAATGATTAAAAGCAGGACCTGTGGTACCAAGCTATCTGGATCTTAGTACTGGCCCTACCACTTGTGAGTGTGTCAATTTGGAAAAGTTAGTTAACAGCTCTTCTCAGTGCCTCAGTTTCTCCACTTGTGAGGGGGCACAGTAACAGCATCTCTCAGTTAATAGTACCTTTCTTGTGAGGATTAAATACATATAATTAATCCTGTGATACATGTTCAGAACAGAACAGTGCTCGGTAAACATTAGCTGCTCACATCGTTATGGGCAAGTAGGACTCTACACACTTCACAGATTATTTAATCTGTGAATATGATACAAGTGTCCTGAGACTGAATCTACAGATAACCCAATTGAATTGAAGAGAGTATGTCACTTGCTCATGGTCACAGGGGTACAAAGTGAGAGGCTGACCTTCACTACAAACCTGCCTTTGCTATAAACTGGGGTTGCACTGCCCTGCCTCCCAGAGCAGCTGTGCAGATGACACTGAAGAGCAAATTTAGCATTCAAACTGCTTCATACATATCAGTTCCACTTTTAGCTACTGATGGTTGATGAGTAGATGACTCTCTAGTTCTATATACAGCAGAAATTGGTCCCTTACAATACAGATTGTCAAACAGAAGCAGCAATTTGAGAGTACTGACAGATGCATCTGCAAACAATTGCTATGCTGACCCAACGACAATCATAGCCAGATTCAGGACAATCCCTGTCCTCAGCCACAGCTTACTGCAACATAGGCTGCATCCCCAGCCTTCCTCACAGTGTGCTCCGGCTGCTACACAGAACATTCAGCCAGAGGCACCAGTGTATACTCTTCTAGGCTGGACAGAAGCCTCAGCTTCTGTATTCTGTTCCTCCAGTGCCTGGGACGTTGTAGCCTCTCCACAAATATGCAGAACCCATGGGTGATTTTCATGAAATGAACAGGAGCAAATTAGGAACCATGAAAGCTGACCCTGACACCAGCTATGTGACTTCAGGAAGACATTTTCTGTGAAGCCAAGAGAAGCAATCACATGCACTCCAGAAGACCTTACAGCAGCACACTCTGCTGGTAGCAAAGCACTGCACCATAACTTCTCCTTTTTCATTTACTCCTTTACTTCTTTCCTTTCTCTCTGCTACCTTTCTTTTTCTTCTTTCCTCTTCCTTTCAGCCAGTCATCAAATATTTCCTATCATGTGCTATACATTATGGCAGAAGCTGGAAACACAATGGTGAGCAAGGTAAGTACAGAAGAAAGGTACTAAGTGCTTGTTGATTTACTAAATGTGATACATTCATAAGAATATTACCTTATTATTTGAAACTTCTGTTTCAACAAACAATCTGGTCCTTGCTGTTAGAATTACCCTCAGCGACAAGTGGGAGAGGTAAGAAAGATCCAGTGGTTTAAACACTCGAGTCCTTCAATTCTGACACAAACAGCTGCATTATTGTATGAATGATTCAGATTGAAACAGATTCAGTAAGATTAGCTGGTAGAAGCTCTGTGACAAACCATGTTTATTCCAATTTACAAATGTGCTTTTAAAAGAATCAATCACATTGCTGAATTCATAGTCAGTTAGGAAAATGACTTTCACTTTAGAACTAGTTTAAAGGTATAGCAATGGCCAGTGTGAACAGAAAAAGACAAATATGGGGTTGACCAGCAGAAACAGATGATAGTGTCCCTCCATTTACCAAGGAAGGCCAGTTAGAAACTTAAATAGTGGGAAAGAGCAACACTGATTTACTAGGTTGCAGGGATCACAGTAGGCGTGCTGAGATTTGGCATCAAAGCAAAGTGTGTTGAGAGTACAGTTGGATTCCTTTTTAAAAGTTTCCTGATGAACTGTCTAGGGAAAGAAACAGACATGGAGGAACTCTGGGATTTGGTCAGATAATCCGGCAATGAACAAGGATGGAGTCTGAAGTAAAACACAGAGAAGCGAGGGGACTGCCAGTGACGTGCACTGGGATGTGAGTGGAAATCACACCAAGGGGAGAGTTTTCAAAACTCCTGCTACAAACTCACCAGAGGGCTTGGTGACATATTAACTAAGAGGCTGGTTCTTCTTAGAACTTCATTTCTCAAAGCTTCATTGTTAAGCCTTTCATAAAAATGCAAAACATTAAAGTACAATAACATATTTTAATCTCTGATATTTGTGAAATATCACACTTCAGTGGGTACAGTTTTAAGGAATTTAGAAGATGAGGGGTAGAGCTCACAAAAGTTACCTCAATCACTAAAAGCCACAAAATTGGAAAACTTCTTTAAAAAACAGTAGATACCAAAATAGCTTTTAGTGTTTGAACCGAACAAAACAGCGTAAGAGGACAAAAGTGGTATTTAAAAGCATACTAAATAATACATTAAAACAAAAAGGAATAAGAAAAAAATGTATTTCAGAGGTTAAATTTTGTTAAAATGAACATCATTTCTATGTGTGTATGACTGACTTCAATAATCCTCAAAAGCCCATTAATAAAAGGGCTTCAGAATTCTGCTGGAGTTCATTATTTAAAAATTTATCCTGCATATAGACTTTGCAAAACACGGTAATGAAAAACAACCCAAATAGACTTGGATTATCTGCAAACACAAAACTGCTTCTCTAAATTCAACTTACTGGCCTTGAATCCAGCTGAGTAGGAGCTAGCTACAACCTGAAGCTTGTTTTTCAGGGGTGGGAGAATTATTTGAAGCCAAAGGGCACTTTGCTGTAGGTCATGTGGCTGTGAGTATAATACTCTAGAAAGTTCTCCTTAATGCCAAACATCTTCTGAGAATTAAAGACAGGACTAAATTTCCTAAGTATTTCCAAAACTTTACACAATAAAGGGTAATCATTTCAGAGTTATATATGCTCAGTTTCCTTAAATCCATAGCCTTTATTCTAGAAAGAAGCAAGTATAAGACATTAATAAATCCAACATGTTGTGAATTCTACAATGCCAAATTAGGTTGTTTTTCACTTGCTTAAAAACCAGTTTTATTCATTAGCTGTAAATTATATCCATGACAAAATTATTAGTGTTTTGCAATATATCAAAGACAAATATGTTTGCCTGAGTATCCCACTAGCCTTTGTATAAAGCTATTATTCTTGAACTTTCTACAAATATTTATTTTTGAATAATTCATTAATTATAACAACTGGGAAGGGTAATATTAGGGCCTGAATACTTCAGCCACGTGAAGAAATAGATTTGTACTTTCCACTTGTTCTCCTGCCTGGCTTTTTATGTGGCCACTGCTTGACTCCCATAAATCCCAGGTGAAAACCTTCTGCTCTTCATTGCTGTGCCAAAGGCTTCTGGACTTGCAGTTCATGTGTAGGTGATTCAGTCCTGTTCTCAATGAGAGATAGCTCCAACACAGGTAAGAGAAGCTGAAAGGCATCTTGGATATAGGAAGCACTATTTGATGCCTGCCAGGAGTGAAAAAATAAGAAAAAAATCACAATCCCATAGAAAGAAAATACAATAGAAGGCAACAAAAAAACTGATTAATATTTAAAATCTAACTAAATCTGTATCTTGCCAAGTAGAAACATAGACCTGACTAATGCAATGAAAGAGAAAGACTGTACAAGAGAAGCTGTTCCTTTTAAAATTTTATTCCTTTGAAACTGCCTAGCACTGTAACTGTTTCATGGCTTTGCAGATAACCAGAGATAGATAACCGAACATGCAGGATGCCTGACCGTACCGCTGTACCAAGCTTCACGAACTGATGACCATTAATCCACCCTTGCAGCTGATGATCGCACCCTGCTAGCTCATCGGAAGAACTTCCAGGCTTTCTGTCTCACCCTTGTACCTCCTGCTTGTGCATCCTATAAAAGCCCTAGACCATCAGAGATCAGGGTCTGATATCCTGGGAAGGATCTTGATCAGTGCCTGTCAACATAAATAAATTTGCCTCCAAGTCCAGGGTGTTGTTTCGGTGTTTCTGCTTCGCATTGCATGAGTACACTCTACCATAGGGAAAAGAAGGGTGTAGGCTCTTAAAATAACATAACAGCATCTGTCAGCACTTTTTTCCAACTAGCCCTTCAGAAATGGTAGCTGTTCCTTGGCATCCTGCTCAAATCTGGCATTCAAAACTTATTTATTCCTTAATTTAGTGGGTAGTTTCTGTCACAGCATTGTAACCAATTACTGAAAAAGGCTTCAGAAAACTATGAGTCCTACGCTCATAGGATTTCCAGCTCATTATAGCAGCTCTTCTTCCATGAGCTCAATGCAATCAGTGAACACAAGAAAGCTGCTTACAAACATCAACAAGTAGCACTGCTTTCAAAGGTGAAACAGTATAGACATACTTCCATCAGGTGCAACAGATGTATTTATGAGAAGTGTTACAGGCTCATTATGCCCAGCGTTTGCCATACCTCATTTACATCCAACAATGTCTCGCCTTCGAGGATAACAACAGTTCATTAAGACAAAAATGTATAATCTCAAGGGCAAGAACGTTTCAAATCTGTGAGCACAAATAATCAACTAGATTAACAGGAAACTCATATCAAGTGAAATTATCTTTTCTGGATTTATCAGTGGCTAGTACTGCTATTTAAAATTTGGTGTGGTGTTTGACAACTAATATTACAGCCAAAAGAAACTCCAGAGATCATATAACTAAGTCTCTTAATTTGCAGTTGAAAGTAAGATTACCAGCAAGAGAAAATTCCTGACCTAGAACAATACAGCAATTAGGGGAAGAGCCCAGAACAGGACTGGGTCTTTTGTTTGCAAAGTTCTTTCAAGTCTACCAATTGCCACCTGCTAAATCACCAACTCATATTTTAAAAAAAATGATTTAAATGATCAAAAAAGTCCCCCTGACTACTCAAAGAAAGCTGTGTAGTTACGGAATTAAATGCATTTCCTTAATGGTAATTTAATTTTGTGTTTTGTTTTCTTTCTTGTGACATGGTCTCACTATACAGTTAGGCTGGCCTTAAACTCACTATGTAGTCCAGATTGGCCTCAGACTCATGGTGTTCCTCATGCCTCAGCCTGCTGAGTGCTGGGATTACAGGCATGTGTCACCACACCTGGCCCTCTACTGGTAATATGCAAACAATATGAAATCAGAGAAGCAACAGTCTGGTAGTTGAAACTTTTTTCAACTTATATTTAAAACCTAATCAAATATATCTTATCTCCCTAGACTAACATAAGTATGTTTTAAACATATCATTGAAGTCTATGCTGTCCACACCATTCATTTACAAGACAAAGTTATTAAATCACAGAATTCAGAAACCACCACATAGGCAAGTAACATAACCCATCATGAAATCTTCCCCAGGGGCTTACTCCATTCCTTAAATCTAAAAGAATAAGAAGGATTATGTATACACATATATATTTTTGACAAAATGTGTAATCTCAAGGGCAAGAGAGTATCACAAAAAGTAAGACATTTGGCAAGGAAATGACAAAAAATGTTTTGTTTCCCAACACCTTTCTATATAAACCTTATCCCTTTAGGAAGCAGTGCTTGGCTCTGTAATTTTCACCCCTTCAGGCTTACTGGCTGATATCTTCATTACTGAGAAGTGTCCACTAAGCTGTCAAGGGATACAGACTAACTAATGACAGCCTAGGGTGGCAGTGGTGGCAAACCTAAGGCACACATGCCGCAGTGGCTATTTATATCACTGAAACACTAAACGGTTCGCCATCACTGGCCTAGTGCTCCATTTCACTTTACCCCACAGCTTCTACTTCATGCCTTGAAATTAACAATATACATCAGACATACACTAGACAATATACATCAAATATACACTATTTTGGTCATATCTGTACCAGCATGGCTAAACTACTCTCCTGGGAGGTGAGGAGCCAAAAATTAAAGATTTAAGAGTTAACTAAAAGGGTCAAAGACTTAAAAACAATTGCTACTAACCTCTAGAAATACTGCAGTGATTAATGGGTTGAGGGAATCTGTCTTTTCTTTGACCTAGAATAAAGAGAACAATGTTGTGTCAACAAGAGCATTTTAAAAAATAATTGGTAGAATATAATCACATTGTGAAACACATATAAATACATGCATAGGATGTTGACTGAGAAAGCAAAATGTCTCCTTTGGAATATGAATTTCTTTTAGACCTTTCTGTGTCAATCAAACTGAGAGTATACTGCCTTACGGTTTCTCACTGACTTTTTAAAAATATCTTAATTTTGGAAAAGAGGGTAAAAGAGGTGTGTCTCACCACAAACTGTCTAAAAACTTTAAAACAAAACATACAGATATGAAACAAATGTTCAAAAAAAATCTCAATAGTTTTTATGACAGGTTATCTGGAAAAGCCTCACTTCATGCAAAGACACAGTGCACATTTAATCCTCACATGTGTCAGCACCTTATACTTGATTCACCAGCTTAACGTACCTTTGTGGGACACATTAAAAGATTCTGCCTCATAAGATAAATTTCAAGAAATCCAGTTCTTTTAAAGAAAATATTAAGAGGAAAATAGATGCCTTACAGGATTATCACATACAGGAATAATCTAAACTCAACTTTAAAACATTCAATTTGGACAATGATCTCAAAAAAAATTTAGGACACCACAGTAATTCTGGCCCCACACTTACACTAATACATTTACCATACAGTTATTTTCATTTGCTTGTTATAATGCCTTTGATGTATCCTAATTCATTACTGACTTTTCAATCATCTTTCATAACTCACATATCTTTGGTACATGTTTATAATTACAATTTTTAAAAATCTTAGCTTTAATTACAGCTCTCTTGTTCAATCCCCGGTACTGGGGAAAAAAAAAAATTACAGCTCTCTCATTCACTGGCAACTATAGAATATGAATGTCACCACTGTCTAAGCTACTTTTAAAAACCGTGGTCAAAATATGGTATGTTTATTTTATTAAGATCTGCATTCTCATTAAAGGTCTTACAAGGAAGCACACTGCACACTTCACAAAAACAGAGAATAAAAAAAGTGTCATAAAAATCAGTTAAACAGAGATAAACTGATTCTAAAATTCATATGAAAATGGTCAAATTCCTTTTTAAAAAGGAAAAGAATAAAGATGCAGAACTCACATTTTGCGATTCAAAACTTACTACAAAGCTAGAGTAGTTAATACAAGATGGTACTTTTATAAGAGTACTTGAATATGTGTCAACAGAATATAAACGAGAAGTCAAAAATAAACCATGAAATAATGGTCACCTCATTTTTGAAAAAGGGACTAAAACAATTCAACAGAAGAAAGAAGAGTCTTTTTAATAAAAGGTGCTGGGATAAGCAAATTGAAATAAAGACGGATCCCTCCACATCTCATCATAGACAAAACTTAACACCAAATGGATGGCAGATATAAGAGCTATAAAACTCTTAAAACACAGAACTAAATCACTATGATCATAGTTAGGCAATAATTTGTTAGATACAGTATCAAACACAAGTATAAAAGAGAAAACTGGTAAGCTGAATTTTGTCAAGATTTTAAAGTATTTGTGCAAAGCACACATCAAAAAAGTGAAACTAGCCATGGCTAGAAGAAATTACGTGTGTATCAGGCACCTTGGCTCATGAACTTAATTCTACACATACATGCACTACGTGTGCAGGTTCAACCAGAATCGTGGAACAAATTCTGCACCCAGAGTGGAAAGAATTACAAGTTCCAGGATGCCATTGTATCTGACAAGAAGCTTTCATCCAGAAAAGATAAAGAATTCCTACAATTTACTGATAGACTCCTACAACGGGCTGCCTGGCTACGGTGGCATGTGCCAGTAGTTCATTACTTGGGTGGCTGAGACAATAGCAGTTTGAACCCAGGAATTCAGGGCCAGCCTGGGCCATCACAGTGACACTTTAACTCTAAAACGAAAAAAAAAAAAAAGGGCGAAGGACTTGAACAGACATTCTTCCCATGTTACACAGATGGCCAACAAGTAGACGAAAATGCATTCAGTGGTACTAGCCACAAGAGAACACAAATCAAAGCCACAATGATGTACCACTTTTTATATGATAAAATGGCTAAAATTAAAAACACAGATAACAAAACATATTAATGAGAGTGTGGAGAACTGGAACCCTCATACACTGCTTGTGAAAATGTAAAATCAAGCAGCCACTTAGGAAAGCAATTTGGCAGTAACTAGAAGAAGTATACTACCTATATGCCCCCAGAAAACTCACTCTTAACAAGCTACACAAGAAAAATGGGTTTTTACACAAAAACTCATACAGTGGTACCTTAGTGGATGAACTTAATTTGTTCTATGATTTTGGAAAGAATGGCCACATTCGTGTTTGTGTGGGAAAGGCGGCCACAGTCCTGTCTGTCACCCAGTGCAGAGTTTGCAAATAAAACCAAAATTTTGCCAAATGCTTCTGTTTGTGAACCAGTTTGCAAACATTAGCACTCAAGAACCAAGATGCCACTGTATGTGCATGTTCACACCATTATTCATTTTAGTTAGAAAGGAGAGACAGTCTAAATGTCTATCAACTGAAGGACAGATACATGAAAGTGTGGCACACAGCTATAAAATGGAGGACTATTCAGCAACAAAATAGAGTACTAACACATGGTAAAACATGAATGAACCTCAAAGCATATCATATTAACCCTTGTCCTAATGTGAAACTAGCAAAAAGGGAGGGGGGTGCACAAGGAGGTTAATGATCAAAGAAATACTATGTACATGTAAAAACCTGCATAACTGATTTTAAAAAGAATGAAAAAATCGATATTGCTAAGTGAATGAATGAAACCTGACACAAAATACCATATATTCTGTTGTCTCGTTTATATCAATGTCTAGAACAGCCATTTCATTAAATTAAAAAAAAATCATTTTTTCCTGGGATCAAGGGAACGTGAAGAAGGAAATAGCGTGAGTGCCAATGTATGAGAAGGAGACGATGAAAATGTGCTTGTCTGTAGACACCCTAAATACAGTAGTGTTGAGCTGTACACCTGATACTAGTAACTCCCATGGTATGTAAGTTACAGATCACTAAAGCTGTGTTCAAAGCCAAAACAAGACACGTTCCACAAGAAGCACTATTCTTACCCCAACAGTCGTCAAGGAGGTAGTGAACTCTCTAGACAGAAAGGACAACTCCTTACACAACACAACGGTCACCCTGGAAAAGAAGGGAGGAAAGTCAGGAGTGTTTTTTCCCTTTTTCTCTTTCTTTTTAAAAAGTAAGCCATACTTAACAACTGTCTTAAAAAACAAATCACTGCTGGTGACAAACATAAAAGCAGAAAGCTTTCAAACATGAATACTTATATCAGCAAGCTAATGAATTTAGAGATCCAGCTGAGCGGGTTTTCACGTCACAGGAAGAAGTTCAAGCCTCAAGAAAACATTTTTTCTAAATAATTTCAGAGCAAAATGAAGGTGAGATGGTAGGAAACAGAGAGGTAGACTCTGGAGATGGGGAGGGAACTTGGGACTGGGGCAGGCAGTGGGAAGGATCAAAGATGACCAAGACAGGCTGGGGCTATAGCTCAGTGGCATAGCATTTGCCTGGTAAGTGCAAGGACATAAGTTCGATTCCAGTACCAAAAAAGAAAAGAAAAAGACACTTTATCAAAGAAATGTGATTATTATGTATCGCGAGCAATATTAATAAAACATTTTCCTACAAAATCCTGTGGAAAGTATTATCCTTTCAAGCTAAATGAAAGGATACACTTAAAATGCATTTTAAGGACACAGTACTTAAAAAGCCCAACATTCTGCTTGGAAACATAGTTAAAATAAATATGTATTCATTTATTCATTCACTCAGTAAACACTTAAGGGAAATCCTTTATGTGCCAGGCACTGTGCTGAGCACTGGAAATATATAAACAAGCAATGTCTTTCTTCATGAAGTGTAACTTAAACACTAAGGGGGGCGCTGTGTACAAGTACGATACACACACACACACACACACACACACAAGCACACATACATATACACATACAAACACACATATTTATCTATAAATGCGTGTGGGTGCCAGCTGGTGACACGAGCTTAGAAAATAGAGGACTAAATGACGCTGGGAGGTGCTATTTCACAGCACTTGGAGGAGTGGCATGTGAATGAAGACCCAAATTCAGTAAGGAAATGAGGTGGCCTGGGAGAGCATCCCAAGTGCAGGCCATGGCTCCTCTGGGTGCGTCTCTCGGCCTTGAAGTGTTAAACACAACAAACACACTGTGCCCATCGTGGGTGGCCAGCGAGGAGCTGTAGGGCATCGATGGCTCCTCCCAACTCTAGCGCACCAGACACTCTTTTTCCAAGGAAAGGTCTCTTAAATCAGGAGGTCTAATTAGAAACTACTGGGGTTTTTGTCTCTCTTGTGATTATTTAAATTCTACGGGTTTTGAATATTTTTGCTCAAAATCAGCAATACTATTAGAAAAAAGAATGTGTGTGTGACTTATACCTGTCTCTAAATTCTGAGCAGACCACTTAACTTTTCTGAGTCTGTTTCCTATCTTTTAAATATGCACTAATCACAGTTGGGGTTTGTAAAATTAGAAATAACACACAAAAATTATTTAGCATGATCCTTGGCAAATAATTACCATTCAGTAAGCTAGTAATTATTACTAAGAAATGAGATTCTTAAAACTATTTTCTGTGTTCACTTAGGGCAAATTCTACTCCTATGAAGAGTAACAAACTGGCAGGGCATGGTGTCGCACATCTGTAAACCCAGCACTCAGTAGGATGAGGCAGGAAGACTGCTGTCGGTTCAAGACCACCCTGGCCTACAAAGTGAGCTCAGGGCCAACCTGAACTTCACAGTGTAACCCTATCTCAAAAGACTAAAAAAAACAAAAAAGAACTGCAATCTGTTAAGAAATGGCTTTCAGAGCACAAGTCAGTTAATTAAAAACCCCAAATTTACAATGGAGATTTACAACAGTGCCATAAGAAGGGAAAAATTGTGCCCCAAATAAACAAACCTCTAATGTGAACAGCTACGGTTACACAACATTACACTTACTGGGAAAGAGTCTGGCTCCTTTCTATGGCTGTCACGTTCTGCCTCTGGCCATGGAGGACCAATGCTGCTGTCTTGTGAAACAGTTCAATGGAGCAGGCAGTCAATTCTGCCAGGCTCCGGATTGCAAATGCATGGATATCCTGGATGTGAAAACCAAACAAAACATGATAAAACGAAATATTAGGGTCTTCTTAATATATGTGGAAATGCCTTGCTCCTCTCATACTGCAAAATTCAGTATTCTGAAAATAGTGGAGACTAATAAAGAATGGTCAATAAATATTCTCTTCTTCCATAGCAGCAATGTAATTTTACAGATGGGCTGTTCACCACAAAAACAGGTGTTCCCCAATCTTTAAGTGTGACTGTAGCCAAAAGCTTTAAATAAAAAGTGTGGTGGCAGCTTCAGGGAGCCTTCCTCATACATAGCACTCAAGCATCTTTTTTTTCTTTATTCCTGTTTTACAGTTTGGAGTTAGATGCTGCACTCTTGGATCACAAGGTTCAAATTATGAATAGCAGTGAAACAAAATAAAAGGTCACTGGGTTCTCCACTGCAATATTCAATCGCAAAGCTGTGAAAGAGAGGGAGTGGAGGGGAAAGCAGGGGAGAGAGAGCACGAGGGCAAAAGGTGAAGGAGAAAAAGAACGGGAGGAAGAGGAATTGGTGGGCGTTAGCTGCTCTGCTTACCTCTATTGAGTTTTTAGAGACTTCCTCCGTATTTCCTCCCTCCAACTGTTTTTCTTCTTCTTTATTCTCTGCCAATGTCTTTGCCGGCACTGCCTTGATCCATTCATAAGCAGTATTTCTCGCCTAAATGTAGAAAGATTATTGAGTGCCAACGACTGAATTCAGCTCACCAAGATTACTGCACAGGGTTTCTGTGCATGCACCGACCAAGCTAGCACCTCGGCAGCTGGTGCTCTTGTTCTCACCGCGACAGGCCACTTAACGTGGTAGTCCTTATCTTACTAGGTAAGAACTCTTGACAACACTTACTGCAACCCACTCATTCCCTTTTGAACATTTTTAAGGCTCTGGCTTTTTTAAACATCTGGGGCAGAGGTTCCACATGCTACAAATTCAAGATATGTTTACTTGTGTATGTGCCTATGAAACTGCAAACCTATCAAGACACAGCACATTTCACCAGCCTCTGAAAGTCCCCTCATGAGTTCCACCCTACTCAGTCCTGCTCAAATCATGTCCTCCTCCTGTCCAAAGAACGCCTTCTGTTTACTACAAAATCAACATGCATACGAATGGAATAGTATCATTGTGTGTCTGGCGACTTAGTGCCCAAAAATGTCAGCTCTGTTTATCCACACCGCTGCTCTATCAGTTGCTCACTCCTCCTCATTGCTGTGCAGTGTGTCATGTTCCACACACACCACAATTTACCTATTTTCCTGATAATGCATCTTTGGGTTGTTTCTGGTTTTGGTGATGTTTATATGGCCATTATATGTGTCTCCATCAAAATTCATAATTATTTTCCTTTTTGATTTTATGAAAAAATAAAAGTTCATAGCAAAATAAAGAAAAATAATAGTTAACACTCTGGGTATCATGATCTTCCAAGTAGGTGGTCAGAGACAAATCTCTCACAGTGTTAATCATATGTGGCCAGTCTCTAAACCCTGTGCTGTCTGGAGTTCCTGCCTTTATTCTTTACACGTGTCAACCTACTCCCTCTCCTTGGATGGAACACCTCCATCCAACCCACTGCAGTGGTTTTTAACTATCCCTGACCTGCTGCTGACTTGTAGATCCTTATTTCCAACCCTTACCTCTCCTGAAACAATGAATTCCAAATGTCTGCAGCATACATGAACCAGATATCCTGCAGGCATCTCACACTCAACATGGAAAACGTTTGAAATGTCTCTGCTTTCTACCTCCAAATTATTCATCCTCTAATTACCTCAAGCTTACCTCGGTGACCTGAACTGAAACATAAGAAACATTTTAGGTACTTTTCCTCCTCCAATTAATCACCAAGTTGGCCTGATTTTACATAAATATTTCTTCAATCTCCCTCCCCATCCCACCCCAGCAACCTTTCTCCTCTCTACTACCATCATTGAGTCCAAAGCAGATCTGATTTGTTCTCCCTGCTTGTGCTCTAGCTCATCATAAATTTATTTTCTTATGGTTACAGCGCTACCAATGATCTGCTCAAAGCTCAGAGCTAACCATTCCTCTTCCCACCGACAGTTCCTCATCAACTAGACGATGCTCCTTCACATAATCTAACAAGACCCCATGACTTACACCCTTACAATTTCTTCAACCTCATCTTCTAACACTTTCTGCTTTATGGTCTGCTAATAATGACCCATTTATCTGTGCCTATTCTTTCTACCCTCCACCTACATGCTGTCTCCTTCAGGTAACTTTCAAAGGCCTTCCAGGAGAGTGAGAATATGAACAACCCTTCTATGAATTTCTAAAGTTTTCTAACTTTAGTGCTAACCAGAATACACTTAAATTAACCATACTAGACTCTAACTAGACTAGATATTATAAGACAGCTGTCAAGTGTCTTATTTGGCTTTGCAACCAGTGCCTGGTATACTATGAAAGATCCTCTACTGTTTTTTATTAGACTGTGTCCCTATCTCCTCTCTTTCTGCAGCAAGTTCTAGATTCTTCTCAGTTTATGTGGTATGGATAGAAGTATTTACATCCCAAAGCTCCAACAGTTGTCAAGTGATTCAGATCTAGCTACTAATACTATTAATACCCTGTCTGCACAAGGATTATTTCATTAGTTCATGAATAAAAATGTGACCAGGTCAGGTCAATGGGCCTCTACAACATTAGGTAAAACTACTGGAAAAGGAAAGACCTCTTTCTGCTGGAGTTACTCAATGGGAAAATAAAAAATCAACCTAAAATTGCCAGTGGTCATCTTACCATCATGTGGGAAATGTTCCTTAAGAATGAAGCCAAAACAAAAAATAGAGCCAAGGGACAGAGAGGGACAAATTCCTAGATACAGTTATGCCAAAAACCAGTCCTGCCCCTTGATTTTCTAGTTTCTTTGGCTATGGAATTCTCCTCTTTTCCTAGGCCAGTTTGTTCCCAATTTTGGTCATGAGCGATTAAGAGAGTCCTGGCTTCTCTGGAAATGCTTACTGCCATTAAATAAAGGCGTCTACTTGATTAACTTCATATAGACAGAATACTGTATAGTCAGGGCTCTAACCAGGAATTGTAACCTGGCATTGAGAGTTATACCAACTCAGAGGATCACAGTGTGGATATGGCACTGGAGTCGTCTTTAAGGACCCTCAGTAAGGCTGCAGCCAAGGCTAAAATATTAATGAGCTAAGTAGAAGCTAAGTACCTAGGCATTCATTTCACATAAAGTCCTTTCCCCCACAGGGGATCAGACAATACACATCAGAAATAATCTGGTTCTAATCTAAACCTTCCCATTACTTAAGCATTTACATGTCAAGTTCAAAAAGACTCACAAGCAAGGAAAGTCAAAGTGTGTTGGGCAAACTGTGGTATCCAGCAAGACCAGAGCATAGAATACAGACACTCATTCATTCATGTATTACAGGTTTGTACTATATACTATGCTGCATACCAAGGATTTAGGGATGAATGATATAAAGTAAGAGGCTGCTCCTCTTTATTCTTGTGGGAAATGCCAATAATGAGCAAGGAAATAAACACCTGCATGAAAAAATTAAAAAGGAGTAACAGAATAGAGAACTGGACCCATGGAGGGTGGCTCAAGTTTGGGGGATCAGGAAGGTCTCGTAGGAATAAAAGTTTGAGCTGAACTCTAAGAATAACACAGAACTGGGCACACAAACATTAAGACAAAGACAGCAGACCTGTAGACAATTCAGCTTAGCATAGTTCAAGAAAAAGAAAAGGCCAGTATGAGAAGAGTAAGAAGCACAGAGGAACATAAGAGGAGAGAAGGTTGGACTGGTGAGTTTTACAGAGAAAAATAGTGACAGATTCAGTTAGAATCATATCAAGTGACAAGAGTCCAAGCAGTATGTAAAATGCTTTGCAATTTCTTCATAGAAACAAAATGAGAAAAAATTGGAGATTAATGTATACAGAATTTAAAGGAAAATAGCAAGAAGGCCACACACAAAAAAAATTAATATACTTGAAGGAGATTTGTAGTAGGCACAGCACATACCTGAAGCGGCTTGCTTTGTAATAATACACTGAGTGAAGTCATCATGAACTGCTGTGCCGACTCAGGTAATTCTTTTTCAAATCCGTTAATCCTACCTACTGCCTGATTTCAGTTCTGAAACTTTCCACTGATAAGGTCTGATTTAAGAATTTTAAAACATTTTAAGCTTAGCTTTTCTAGCAACTAATTTTTTCCATCTCAAACAGTAAGGACTGAAGAAGGAATTGGATTTACCCAAGGTCATATCCCATATGTCAGAATTAGAATCAGAACTAAACTCCTGGGCTCCTACTTCAATACTCTGTTATCTACATCATACTTATAATCAGGCCTTGATCTTTAACTATTCTACACCGTAAGTCTCAATGTCCCAAAATTAAACAATCTGAAGACTGCTTTCAGAGAATGGCTAGAACTATAAGCGAGATAAACAAGACGGTGCCATTTTTAAAACATTTATTAATGTAATTTCCTTGAGCACAGAAGCTATGTCTTTCTCACTATTATTTCCCTAGCACTTAGCAAATTATCTAGCATAATAAGGATTACTAAACATATGTTTATTAAATATCAGAATGGATCAGGCCACCTCCTGAGGGTCATTAACAGCCAGCATTTATATTTATTTACAATGAGCCAGGCACTCTGTAAAAGTTTTGTGTATACTAAGGCATTTAATCCTCATAGAAACTCCACATTACTCCCACCTCACAGATAGAGGAACTAATGCAAGGAGAGGTTAGCGACTTGTCCAAGGTCACACAGAAAATGAGAAGCAGTAGAGCTGGGTTTTACCAATCAATTAAGTATAGATCTTGACTTTAAAAAATTTAAGGTTTCGGTTGAGAGGTAAGACACCACATTTTTAAAAACTGATGCATTTATAACAACATGTAAGTAAAAGTTACAGTGAATAAAAAAGAATGCTAAGAAAAGTATACAACATGTTAAATTTTGCATAAGAAGAAGATAGGACAATGCATCTGCTTATCTTTATAAAAGGAAATGCAAGAAGCACAAGCCCAGAAAACACAGAAGTATAACACCTAAAAGAGAAGAATGAAGAAGGAAAAGAGGAGGGAATGACACCTCAGTATATCTTTTTGTACAATTCTGACTTTTGGAAGTATGTTCCTAGTGTATATATTCAAAAATTAACATGGGAGATAGCAAATAAAACAAATTCTTTTTTTGGCTGATTTTCAAGTAATATGGACAAAGCAATGAAACAATTTCAGATGCATTTTATGACTAAAGAAATGAGTTACTATTAAGAGGTAAGATTCTTGCTGCAGAAAGGAGAAACAAATGTGTAATGAGTAAATGCAATGAAAAACTCTATACAAATGAAGTAAAGGTGGAGGTACCAGTCTGAACTCCTGATTTCTAGAATGTGTACATATGCACATGCAAGCGTATTTGTCTATATATACACATGGCACGTGTGTGAATACACATGCATATACATATACAAATGCATGAACCTAAGTATTATTTCTTTGTTTTGCTGACTAGGCCTACGAGCAAACACACTCCACTAGCCCCCTGGTCTTGATCTGTAATACTAAAATGAAATTACGGTTTCTTAAAGAAATAGCCAGTTCCAGGGCTGGGACACAGAAGGTACAAGATGAATACAAAGTAGTACTCCCAAATGGTGGAGACACATCATAAAGGAGCAGCCTGAAGGATAATCTGAATATCAAAATAATCAAAGACAGTGATAAATTGGAAACCATGGAGGGAAAAGCAGAAATCCACACCAGTAATAAACAAATAAAGAACAAAAAGAGGAGTGAGCTCTTGACTACAGTAGAACACTGGCAGCAACTAGTAAAAGGGCAGAGAAGTGCTCAGGCTTGAAAAAAATCATTTTGCAGTCTTCACAGTAAAGATTGGTGCAACCAGAATCATGAATAGAAGCTAAATTTAGGAGGAAAATTATGATGAGTCTGTCAGTCTTAAAGCCTCCACAAAAAGCTACTAGTAGCAAATAAAAAGGAACTGAAACTCTACTGAGAGAAATCACAGAACACATCACTATTAAGGAACAGGTAGACATCCAGTGCCTGTAGACAGGACAGGCTGTCATCTATGGATCATTCAGGCCAAGGGATACATGGCAGCAGGGGGAGGGGGCTTCTCAAAAACATCAGTGCCATAAAATAAAAGCTATTCTAGATTTTTTTAAAAAACCTAAAAGTACAGGATAACTAAATCCAATTTATGGCTCCACTGTTACAAGGAAAAAACTTGATAGGAAAAGCATCATCATCAAGTCAGTTGGAAAAACTGGAAAATGGACACAGATTAGCCAAAAGTATTCTAAAAAAATAAAAGTATGGTACTAACACTAAACTTACTGAACTATCCTGTGGTTATATAAAAGACATCCATATCCTTGGGAGACGCTGAAATATTTAAAAGTACAGTAATATAATGCTCACAACCTACTCTCAAAAGACTACGTGTGGGTATTTGCGCACACAGAAAGAAAGAACACACGTGCAAGCACAAGTGCTTAAGCGAATGAAGCAATACGGTGACTCTGCATACAAGGCACGTGAATGTGGTTTGCACTATTTATGTAACTTCCAAAGTTGATATTACTTCCAAAACAAAACCCAAGATTAAAACAAGATCGAAAGTACTTATAATGAAGGGCTACAATTCAGTGAGGGAGAAGAGCTGCTGAGGAACGGTCAGAAAAGTTTTTCTTGGAGAATACAGTATTTTCATAGGGCACAAGAGACTGGGAAGAAGTACAAAGCAGCATATTCGATACCCTGGGGTATGGAAGAGAAGTTACTGCACTGTCTGCACGCTAGCTACCAGCTCTCTCTGGCTAGGAAGCAGTGTGTGCTGCTGCTAATTTGAAATATTTCCCAAGGTTGAGAGAGGTGGGTAGAGGAAGGAAGCAATCCACAACCCAGTGAATAATGTTCCATGAGCCAGCAATGGTACAAATGCTAGGTAAGCACTGCTATGGAATCTGGCCCTCCATACCACTCTGAACTTCGGCAGAAGTCTCTCTATGTTCTAGATGTAAGAATACAGTTCGGCAGTGATCAGTAAAGACCACAGCTTGGGCCCTGCGGCTCTCCCATTTCCACATGCTAGCTGGTAACTATCTGAGTCACCAGGCGCTGGAAAATGACAGCCTCCGTCCAGCACTGTGTGGACAGAGGCCACATCTAATCATCTCTGCATCATTCATAGCCCTAAGATCCGTGAGGAAATGCCAACTTGAAACGACCAAATGGCTTAAATTAAGCTTCCAGACAAGCACAGCATCCCAAATGAAAATAAGTGAGGATGGAAGAGACATGGCTTTGGCAAGGGACTGGGTAGTAGATATGGGTTCAGCGCACTAACGTGGGAGCAGGAGGCAGGCAGATGGTGTAGAACCCTGTTCTGGGTATACTGAGTATGTGTCACTGACTCTGGTGACACTCCTTTCAGAAAATTATACTCTTATGCTCTGTATCTACTAAATTCCTATAAATAAAATAATGAAAATCACCACGAGGTGGTAACTTACCCTGGTAAGTTTCTCTGGTTTGGTAGAGACGTGCAGCTGGGAAAACAGCTCTGTTACCTCTTTGGTAAAATCTTCATCTCCTAAAAAACCAAGTCCCATGTAAACACTCCAGAAAGACTGCTGAGGATCATGAGGAAGGTGAGGAGGATGCAAAATGTAGCAGCAGCAGTATTAATAACAAAAATAGCAACGGTGCAGCACCAACAACTGACATGAGCACAGTCCTTTAGTGCTTACAGAATCCTTTTATGTATATTGTATCAGAATCCCTTTGATGGGCTTGTAAGAGAAGTATCATCACCCCATTTTAGAGATGAAGAACAAGAGCTTGAAGAGATTAAGCAATTTCCCTAAGATCACAAGAAAACAGGAGGCGTTCAACCTTGGTCCTCCTGCTCCCAGGGCTCTGCATTACATCCAAGGTGAATGGAGAAAATGGAGAAGTAATGAAGACAGAGAACCAAGCAGGGACAGTGCATGTGCTTCCAAGGAAGCAGAAGTTAAATCGGGATATGAAAGAAGAGCTTCACACGCAAAGACGAAGTGCAAAGATTCAGGGGTGTAAGGAAGCACCACAAAAAGTCTGCTATGTTGAGAGTGTCTAGCACAAGAAAGGGAGCAAGAAAGCTGAGTGGGATCCAGATAATAAAGGGCCGTATAAACCACAGCTTACAGCAGGGAGTGAGGAACCACTGAATGATTTTTAAGCAAAGACAGATGTGATCAAATTATAAAAAGATCACTTTGGCTACTGAGTGGGAAATGGATGAGATGACAAATAAAAAGAGAGGGATCCATGATTTATGTAAGAGATAATGATGAATCAAGAAGAAAAAAGGGAAAGAGAATTCAGGATGCTGGAAGGACAGTCATAAGGAAGTATTGGAGTCACCCTGGTTAAGAGATGGCAGGTAATACAGAACACCCACACATGAGAAACATAGGCAAATGAGTGAATCAAAGTCACAAACAATTAACACACCTAAATAAATGGCAGGAAATGCTCTTTTCCTCTCTACATGTCTAAATGCTATTGTTCCTCCTGTCCAAGACTCAGCCAGGGCTTCTCTGCAATGCAGAACAGAACTCATGTACACAAGAACCTTCTAGTACTTACAATCTAGATGTGTATTTCTAGTCCATGACTTGCAAGGGCAAATTACTAGTGCTGCATATCTAGCACTTGCCCCTAAGATCTCCAGGGGAAAAAAATCTTAGCCCTTCTCCTTCCACCCACTATAATTCTGCCCCTCTCTCTTAAGGCCAGGAAATAAAATAATTTAGTAATCTCATGCATAACTTGGTTTGAGAAAAGCTGACCTCACAGATACAACTCTGCCCTTTACAACTCATCTAACCACCTCCTAATGGTACCTTACTAGTAAAATCTAAAACCTGACTTTCACATGGGCATTTTGTTTTCCCAACTAAACTCCAAATTATTTTGGTTCAAAGAATAAATCTGACTCATAGTGGGATACATGTACCTCAGAGAGTTCCCAAATGCCATGGCATGCAGGAAAAAAGGGGCGACTGTCACATTTAGAGATGTTTATCTCATTCAATTAAAAACTTGTGCTTTCAGGCATATTTTAATGTAAAAAATACATTATGTTATCAATATTTAATGTATAAACATTCAAACATACAAACATTATGTCTAAGTGCTCAATAAACTGCTACTGATACAAGTTGTGGTAAAAAATGTTCAGAGGTCACTGCTATGTACGTTTCACAGCACCGAGTACAAAAAGTAGTTGCTGCACTAAGTAAGAGTGAGACACAAGAGGAAGAGCTTGTGGTTCAGAGGGATGTGGAAAGAGGCTGCAGTCTCCCTGAGCAGCATAAGTCCTTTTTAGGGGCCAAGAGACCAGGCATTAGAGAGAGGTGTAAGCGCTAAGGACACTGATCTGACGGTGAATGAAGACAACCAACTTCACCTAAACCAGGGTCTATGGGGTTCGCTCTGCTACCTTTTTTTTTTCTTTTAACAGCATCACCAAAGTCACTGCTCATTCTCAACCACAATCACTGAATAGGACAGACAGGGCTGGGGCAGGTCTGGGTGGGGTGGGGATAACACACTGGAATTCCCTGTGTTTTCAGAGTCCTCATCTCTGGCCCACAGGTAAGAGAAAAACTATCACAAAGACAAACTCATCTGTTAGAAAAGGACCTTAGGGTTCTCTGACAGCTATTTAAAGCCTGGGATTTCTGACTACTATACAAAGCTATTTGTTGACTAAATGAAACAAATACTGTTAATGGTACCATGTACAAATAAGCTAATGAGTAACTGGGAATTGTCATAACAAAGCTTTTTTAGGAACAATGGAGAAACTTGAGCAAATTAAACTGAAATGATACGTTTTCTGCTAAACAGACTTTTAAAATGCAGAATTTTAAATCTATTTATTTGTATCTTCCTAATAGTGAAAATAATAAAATTTGCTGGTGCTTGTTATGTGCCACATACTAAATATCTCATTCAGTCCTTTTAATAACCTGGGAAGAATCAAATCATCTTGTATGAGAAAACAGAAGCTCAGTGTTAAGTGATTTCTCAAGGTAACACAGCTTCATAAGTGGCAGATCTTCATTTTGAACTTGTCTGTAACCCCAAAACCTATCTTTTATTTATTTTTTTCAACCATGCTAAACTGTGTTTCATGACAGCCTCAAAAAACATTCAAACCCTTTCTCCTTTTTTGAGACAGGGTCTGTGGTATATTAATGGTCAACCTATAACACTCGGCTGAACTGAATCAGCATGGTGCTGGGTGTTGAAGGCCCTCCTGAGGATTGCTGCATAAAAGCAGAACAGGAGGGACAGTGATGTGCTGTCGATTCTCCTGGAGAAGCCTGTCACACCGATTTCCTGACATGAACTCAGCTGTTCCCACTGTTGAAGGAGCTCAGATCCTCATTGTTGCAGCGGTGGCTGCAGTTCTCCTCTGAGAAGTCCTGGCCCTTACACTAAGTATTATTTCCTGAAACCAGTGCAGAACTCACTACCTGGTGGCACAGATCCTACACTCAGCTGCCAGACTTTCTAGTTTCAACCACTGACCTTAGGGTCTTCCCTGTGCAGATCCTTGACACAGACTTGCAAGAGACATTGGTGTGGGCTCTAGGCCTCCAGTTAGACTTGTGGAGGACACTGCCATGGGCTCTAGATCTTCAGTTGGACTCCTGTAGACACTGCCATAGGATCTAGGCCCTCAGTTAAGATTCTCTGGGTCTCTAATGTGTGGACAGATCCCTTGCATTCTTCTGTATTTGACTCTTTGGTTGAATATTATTAAAATAATCCTGTAAATTATGTGCCCTCTTAAATCTATTCTCTTACAAATCATAACTACAACAAAACTTGGCGCCAGAAGTGAGGCACTGATGCAACTATACCTGACCATGAATGCTTCACGAGCATTTGGAAATACCTTCTGGAAAGAGTTTGGAATGATTGAGATGAAAGATGAAAATGGAGTTAGAATGCCTTTGGGTGTTTGTATGGGAGATTCTGGTCAGAGCTCAGAAGACCAGAAGGCTGAGCGAAACCCTGCCAATAAAGACCAGGTTCAGGAGGTTTTTGCAGGAAGATTGCACTGTTTGTTGGACTCCAGATGATGTGTTACAGCTTGGCAGAAAGTTTGTCTGCATTTTTACTCATGTCCAGAGACTGCCTGGACTGAGATTAATGGTGGCAGACTAATTAATCTCGCAGAAGACATTTTAAGCCAGTCTAATGTTGAGGCAGTGGTATGGCTACTGAGGACTTTTAGCCAAATTTATATTAAGTATCAAGAGCAAGGGGGCCGGCAGAATGATTTAAAATGTTGTGAGTTTGGCCACAAAGGAAGTTCCTACTGGACTGCAAAGGTAGACAAGAGGACATCTTGACTATCAACAAAGAACAGGAGAATAAAAAAAGATGGCCTGAGAAGCAGCAGGCTTTGCAGCCTCAAAATTACAAAAGTGAAAGATTTTGCTTTGAGAAGAAAGCACCAGTGCACCATGTCCCAGAATGGCAGCAGCATAGAGAATTTAATCCTGAGAACTGAATTCAGGGTGCTCAGCCCTCCAGGCACTTAACCCCTACAGCCAAGAAAAAGACCCCTGACTACTGCTCTAGCCGGCAGCAGACCTTGGCATCATCCACATGGTGCTGAATTTAGATGCATACAAAATGGAAGAGTTATGGGGTCAGGAAGGCTTCTGCCCAGATTTCAGAAGGCCTAAGAGATCAGGAAATTTGATCTGAGAGGGCAGTGTGTGAAACTGTCAGTGGGAAGCCAAAAGTGTTTGGAGAAGCTAGAAATGTGGATCATCTGAGGAAAACTGCAAGGAGAGAGCAGAGCAGGCCCAAAAGAGAAGACAAGGAAACTACAACTCCCGAAAGTGCTGGAGGGGCAGAGGCACCCAGGCCTTTTGCCATCCACAACTTGCCACAGATTGCCTCAGATGCTGCACATGACTACAGGACTTAATGTCTGTCCTGCTGGATTTTGAACCTGCTTTAGTCTCATTCCTTTGTTTACCTATTTTTAATTTATGGAATAGAAATGTCTACCTTATGCCACTGAATGTTGGAAGTGTTTAACTTTCTTTTCATTTGTACATGGGCTCACAGCTATGAGTTTGCCTTAAATCTCAGAGCAGACTTTTGACTTGGGACTTTTCAGCAATGCTGAAACTGTGAGAACTTTGGCAACTCTTGGGGATGGTCTTAATGCCTTTTGTGTAGAGGAATGCACATGAGTCTTTTGTGGCCCAGGGGCAGAAGGTTATAGTTTGTGTCTAGATGTCCCCCCAAAGCCTTATGTAATTTTAGATGGGACTTTTTGGAGGTTAACTACATATAGTTTGACTGATTCACACTTCACTGCTAAGATAAGGGTACCAAGATTAAGCGTGGGTGACTGCTAAATCAGTCCAAGGACTAGAATGGCACCACCCTAATCATAGCAGTCTGGATAAGATAAAAGGGGCAGAAAAAGGCTTGTCTCTCTCTTTTGCTTTTGTTGACTTCCACCACCATGAACAGTTTGCCCCTTCCCCATGTGACACCATGCCTTGGAGCCAGCAGATTATGAACTGAAACCTCTACAAACTGAACTAAATAAATCTTTTCCCCCTATAACTATGAGTACCAAGTATTTTGCCTCCACAAGGAGGAAAGTAACTAACACAGGGTCTCACTATGTAGTTCAGGCAGGCCTGTGAATTTCCTGCCTCATCTCTCAAGTGGTAAGATGTGCTATCACACCCAGCTTTAAAACTATTCTCTTTTCTTTCTTCTTTATTTTACTTATTTATTTATTTTTTGAGATAGCGTCTCACAACACAGTTCAGTCTAGCCTCCTACATCAGTCTGCCAAATGCTGGGATCACAGGTGTGCACCACCATGCCTGGCCAAAAATCTTTTTCTAATAAGAAGCAGTATTTTCACATAAAAAAAGCAAGTACATAACTAGCTAGCTTGATTTCTTAGAACACAATGCAGAACACAAACAGAAATGAAAATAAAAAGTCCCTGTCAGTACAGAATCCAGACAGACAACTTTAGGTCCTGAGCTATTTCTATCTAAGTGGATAACTTGAGTAAGTCTAGTTATTTGATTTCTCTCTCACATCATATTAGATTAGAAACAACCCAAATGAAATTCAGGATATATTAGAAGCAAGATCACTGAAAATGAAGCAAAGTAAAAGATGGACAGATAACCATACAGCAGGAAATAAGGATACACAACTCGTAAAAGCAATTAGAGTCACTTTAGTAAATCCTGCAGTTTTGAATAATTTAATCTAACAGTTCTCAAACATTTTGGGCTCAGAAGCTCATTACACTCTAAAAACTTTTTGAGAACTCCAAAGAGCTTTTTTAAGGTAAATTATACATACACAGACATTTATCATACTAAAAATTAAAACCAAAATGTTTATTCACTGAAAATAATAAACCTACCACTTGGAAACACACTTTTAAAGAAAACTGTTCTTCAAAAAAGAAAAATTTTAATGAGAACAATGTCACTGGTTCACATCTTTGTGTCTTTAATGTTTAGCTTAATGGAATATGGCTAGGTACCCTTATCTGTTTTTACAGTTTGTTGTGATATGTTGTCTTGCTTAAGTATGTGAACAAAATTCTAATTTGTAAGGATACTTAGTTGAAAAGGAAATAAATTTTTTTTTAATTTGTTTAAATTACATTTAGTTTGTGTGTGTGCGCGTGTGTGTGTGTGTGTGTGTGTGTGTGTGTGGTATTGGGAATCAAAGTGAAGACTTTGTGCATGACAGACAAGTGCTCTATCAACAGCTATATCCCTAGCCCAGGAAGAAGTATTTTAATAGCCTTTTCAGATACTTAGTAAAGACTATTGTTAAATACTCTTTAAACCACGCCAAAATTCAACAAGTGGAGTGTCATAGAGAAAAGTTGCTGTGATCTGCACTGGAATGAATCTGAAAACATGTTATAAAATTTTGTACTGTTACATAAAACTAAAATCTACCACTCTCTTTTGCCCAGTCATGACTTTGTAATAACACACATTAGTCACTGGGAAAATACTGGTTCTCGGAGTTATGCAGATCTTCCAAATGCTGATACATTTCATTGTAAAATATCTAGAAATTATTATATTTGTTACTATCACCACAGATTTCATCAGAACAATCTGTAAACAGTTCTGGGAAGCTGTGAAGCTCACCACAGCAATAAATATGTTTTACAAATTTCTAATTTTGACTTAGTTTAACTTTTTATCATGAGTCATAAACACAACAGATGCTTTCCTTGAAGCAAAGGCTCATTTCACTTTTTAAAAGATAATGTTCACTAAACAGTCTATTCTGAATAGTATGTATGCCTATGTAAACTAAGTAAAAATTATGTTCCATGACAAAAACCAGTAGTTCACCTCACAACTCAAATATTAGTGCTTCACCTGAGAAAACCACCTTACTACACAGTATCACATTAAAAAGAGTATACTTCAGGGTCAAGAGCTAATAAAACTAATATTTTTTTACTGGTTTATCAAGTCAAATGAAACTTGCACTTAAAGTGGTATTAGCAAAGCTTGATGCTACTGTCTATGAGATCAGCAACTTTATCGATAGCTACTTTTCATCATCAGTAACCAGCCAAACACTAAAAAACTAAAAATGAAACATTCTTAAAAGTAAACTGCATTTTGGGATTATCACTCCCTTTAAAGATTTTGGACACAGGATCTGCAGATCACATGCTGTAATCTACCACATGGGTAACTGATCCTATATGTCCTAACAAACACCAGCAGAATTTATCTAAGCAACTTTAAGGTTTATAACTGATTATATCATGAAGAAAAAGCAAAACTATTCATTAGATTCCATTTTCTTTAAAAAAGAGTATAGAATACATCTTAGAAATATTTCCAACTAAAATGTTAAACTGACCCTTAGGTTTAATATTCAGTTGCCCAGAAATTATGGTTTAAATAAACTACCACATTTCCAGATTATTTTGCAAAAATGAGATGCTCAACATGTAAATTTCCTCAGAGGTGCACATATTAAAACTCAGGATAAAAGGATTTGTAAAAATGAAGAGCTGAACAATCAGCATATGTGGGTAGCTGTCACCTCGCACGAGTCAATTCAACACAGGACCTGGGATGATGGGAGTCAGTGAAGTGTGGCTGGATTATCTGGAGATGCAAATGCTCACGGGGTAACCAAACAGAGAAAAAGATCTGAACGGAGAAGCTCACTCACACTGCGAAACTAGGCAGAGTTGCATGATCCAAGACTGGACATGCAGAAGATACAAGTCAGCAGTAAGAAGAGGAGATGGGGCATAGGGCTGACCTGCCCATTTTAATGCCTGTCAGGGAGAAGGCTACAGAGAGAGTTTCCCATAAAAATAAAATAAAATAAAACCAGGATAGTGTAATGACAGAGTAAATAATTTATTTCTACAGCAAAGCACTACATACAAACACAATGCATTCTCCCCACTCAGGTACTGAACTTTTATATTACCTTTTTTCTCTTCTTCCTCTTCGTCACAAAACTCTGCAAGGGAAAATGCTTCTTTGAGCTGCTCTAATTCAAGTTTTAGGGTCTCTAATTCGTCTCCACTTAGAGAATTAAGGACAGACCTCACCTGAATGGATATAAAATAATAAAAAATTGTGGAAGTATGAAAGGAAAAATATTCTCAAGTGGAGAAGAGAATACAGGTCAAACTAAAGTCAGAATTACAAGTTCACCAGCCAACACAAGCTATTTCTTAGAAATCTTAAGACAGGAGGCTAGTTATTACAAAATGTAGAAACATTTATACTTCCAAAAATAACATGAGCCACAGAAAAATGAATAGTTGCAAATTACTAATGCTTAACAACAGTTTAGAAATCAAGGTGTGGTGGCCTGTAATCTCAGTACTCAAGAGGCCGAGGCAAAACTACTGCACATTCGAGGCCAGCCTGGGTTACATAGTGAGTTCAAGGTCAACCTGGACTCACAGTAAGGTGCTATCTCAAAAAAGTACAAAGAAAGAAAGAAAGAAATCAAGGGGAATGAAACAGTCTTGAATCAAAAAGTAACTGTCTACAAATTGGTAGATTAAATCAACAGGTTTTCTTGGCACCTGAAGAAACCAGAAAAAAAAAAAAGACCAGGTAAAGCAAAAATAACAAATGTGCTATTAAGAGCTCTTTGTTAATCTGCTCTTTCATGTCATTTTAGAAAAATTACATGACTCATTGTGTTTCTTTGTAGCAATAATTTAAACATTAGTTTTTTTGTTTGTTCTAGTGGACTACTTTCAGAGAGCCTCAAGCCTCCATCAGAAACACATTTCATCTTCCAAATGCAAAAAGAAAATTAACTATACAACATCCTTTTTTTGAGGAGTTTTTCAGTTGGAATTTTTCGTTTGGAATTACCTTTATTTCACTTTCTTGGGAAAGCATCTCCAGAGCTTCTAGATGGGAAAGGCCTTGAAATTCATCAAAGAGTAGCCCATAATGAGTATTTTTGTCAGTTTCCATGGTAACCTCATTGGAGGTCCATAGCTCTTCTTTCTCTTTTGCCTCCCTTAAAACCTAAAAAGAGATGGCGGCATTACACTGAAGCAAGTAATGAGAGCTCAAGGGTGAGATTCAATAGTGGAAGGAATCAAAAATGAGACAGGTTTCAGCACAGAGCACTGCCCTTTCATTCTTGGCATTGCAATTCAAATGCAACAGGCTCAGGAGCTGCAGGAAAAAATAAAACATAACCTGCAGCTAGTCAGGTAAATAACACCCAGGGAGCCAGGTGTTTCTCTCAGAGTGGTTTAGACATTAATTTAATAAATCACTTTGACTTGATTTAGCACTTTGTACTGCACTGACAGAAGGCTACTGCAAAAAGAGAAAAAAAAAAAAAAAAAAAAAAAAAAAAACCTGACATTTTCCTGAGCACAAGAACTCTCAATGCAAAACCCTCAAAACTTTAATTTAAAAAAAAAAACACTAAAAATTCTTTAAAACGGGGCTGGGGATTTAGCTCAGCGGCATAAGCACCTGCCTTGCAAGCAGGCGGTCGTGAGTTTGATCCCTGGTACCGATAAAAATGAAAAAGACCAAAAAAAAATAGCATTTAAAAAAAATTCTTTAAAAGGGAAATTACAACAATGTCCCACATTAACAAACACAAAAATATCAATCAAAACAGAAACAGGAACCAAACAGGTAAAGAAAAAAGTACCTGAGAGAGTGTAGCATTTCGGTTCATTAGACCCTTAGTTCTTTTAAAGCCAGGATCCCCTTCTGCTATTACATCCATTGTCTTTTTCCCAATGAATTCTAAGGCATCCAAACCTCCAGCGATAACACTCTTTCCCTAGAAACCACATGCAACTTCATTATGACAATAATGAGAAGCTATATTTGAACACTTTGTTTAAAAGTATAACCATAGATATCAATCACTGAGAAGAACGTGGAGCAGAGCAAGTAACCAAACACTGCTTGGAGTAATATAACTAGGCGTAACCACCTTGTAAAACTGTGGGGCTGTATCTATGATAGATACCGTGCAAAGAAATTCCAGAAGTTTATCAGAAAGCATGCATGTACAAGACTGTTCATACCAGTATTACTTAGAATAACTATAAACCTAAACTATCCCCAATACTTACCACTGTGAAATAAATGCAATATGACAATGGCAAAATACAGTAAAGAAAATACAAACTGCAACACGGATAAATTACAAATCTCATACTGTGGGAAAGAAGCCAAATACGAAAGGGAACATAGGGTTCAATTCCATTTAATAAAGCACAAAAGCAGGCAAAGATACCTATGACACTAGAACACAGGACTGGTCGTTTCAGTGCAGAAGACAGAATAAGTCAGGGCACTGGACACACCATAACATTATTCTAAGCATGTTCCCATGGTAAAAATTCAAATTGAACACTTATGATTTCTTTTTCTATATGGATGCTACATTTCAATGAAAAGTTAGAAAAAAAAAAAAGTACTGGTCATTGACTCCCATCGAAAGACAGTATTGTGTCCTCTATTACCTTTTTAAAATATTTCTCACTGTACATAGTTTTCCAAGTGTCTACCACAAAGACAGACACTTTTCCCCTTCAACTTAGAAGATGTAATTATAGGAAAAATATTTTTGTAAAACAAAGACATTGTCTAGGGACACCAAACTAAGAATTCGTAGTCCATGAACTCTTATATACATTGCCTCTCTTTTCAACCTATAGGTCTTTCATTTCTTTAAAGAAAGTTTCCGTGTAGTTCCTGTTCTACCTCTAAGAAGTGACTGATCTTTAGTTATTGGGTCTCCCTTAAGAGTAATCCGTTCCCATAGCTTTTCAACCTTCATTAACGAAAGGCCGGCCACCTTGCAATTTTTTACTCACTGTGCTCTGAACAGCGGTAGAAATGGTCGAGAATACACCAAACGGACCAGCCCCCAGGGAGGAGTCTTCATTCTCTCTGGTATTTGTCTCTGCTATGGGAGAAGGATCACATGAAAAATGAATATGTAAGGAAGGGTGCCTGTTTTACTTTCTCAGCATTTATGTGACATTTTAATAATCAGACCCTGTTTCCTATGACCCTAAGCCTTTTTATTATTTTAAACTGAAATTTGGTATTGGACTTGCTCTTCTACAACAGCAACTAGAAAACTGGACAAAAGCTTTATTAAGAGGTAGACCTTCAGTCTAGGAAAAAAAAAGTGAATTCAACAATGAGTTCTCTAGAGGCGTATTTCAAATCATGACACAATGAGAAAACCTCAGCAGAGCACAATAAATCATGATGACTAAAAAAGAAAACAACTTGAATCAGGGAAGGCTGATGCAGTTGGAATTTGCAAGGCAGGAACCTGGAAAGGACAGGGTCACGTAAGTAAAGAGCTCTACAAATCTACATGGGTGCGCTCTTGTGTTTTTAGCTGGATACTACACTGCTCAGGCAAGAGAAGACTCCACAAGGCTGGAAAATGAACTACTACTAAGTAGTAAGCTATTTCCAGAGCTCCTGCCTGGCTTAGACATTAGACTTCCATCAACCAAAATGGACAAATTTCATTAAACAGCTGAGAATTTGGTAAAAACCTCAGATGATGACGTTCTACCAGTAGATACAAACTAGTCACTACAGTCAGGTCTAATCTATAGACTCATCCTGAACAAGCTTAATGTCTTGAAATAACCATCTAACCTACATATTTATCAGAACTACCTGCAACAAAAGGAGAGCAAAAGACAACACCCTTTAAAAGATACAACAAAATCTCTAAGTGTTGGTCAAATGATTTTCATCAGTAGCCTCTACTCATCTCAAAGTTCAGAAAAGCCACATTCCAAAAATACCCTTAGCAGTGGTATTAACCTCCCTCCCTAAGAAGGTTAAAAGATGGGAAAGATTTATGAAAAGGCAACCCATTCCAGTTTTGGAAAGTTCTCATTATTAAATACTTATTAAACTAAAATCTAAGTCAATTTAATGTCCACTAAGTGGTACTTGATCTGTTCCCCTGAGCCACAAATAATAACCTAAGCCAGAGCTCTCCTCTATGGTAGTATTCAGAGATGTAAACAGAGCCCACATGTTCTCCCAACCTCCCTCCTTAGATTTTCATATTCAACACTGATGATGCCTTCAACTTCCTTAGACATTAATTAATTCCACATATTTCACTATGTAGCTACTTCTTGCACCATTCCACCTAGTTTTCAATGCCCTTCCTAAACACGGTCTTGTACAGTAGTCATCCTTCAGATACTGTACACTTTTTGCTTATATATCCTAACCCTTCTAACTCCTTTTTCCCTCCCTACTGAATCCAACTACTGACCCAGACGTTTCTGATATACTCAAAACCCACTCTCCCAGAACCTCTTTCAGCTACAGCATAAACGTAAGACCTTGTTCCAGCCAATGGCACCTGAGGAGAAATAAACCTGGGGCTCCTGGGAAAATCTTTACTCTCTAAAAAAAGACAGATGCATAAGGAAAAATGACACTCGTATCTATTTTGATTCTGACTTTAAGCACATTTGTTTTCAAGTACCATACTTGGAAGTTGCAGTACTGTCTGGCAACCATTAAGGAACCACAAACAAATCAACAAAGAAATCTAGAGAGGAGAGGTGCCTACCCAGAACCCTTTCATCAATGAATCACTAAACTAACCATATCTGCAAGTGTACCTCTGGAGTTCTTTAGTGACAAAAATAAACTCAGTTTATTCTTATGTTCTGTTACCTGCAGCCAGAAAGCCTAATGCCAGTGCCATAAATTCATACAGTCATTTGTAGCCATGTTTGCATACTGGGAAATTCTCCCCTGACCATAAGTGACCCATGTAAAAGTGGCCTAAGTTTAGCTAGATATAACTCCTCCTATAAATTCAGAAATAGAATAACTGGTGAGAGTTGGTCACTGGATTCAATATACAGCTGGAATTGGGAAAATAAGCAGAGAGAGTCAGTCAAGATTGACTCCTCAAGAGGAAAAAATGATGTAGATGAGCAAACAAAAGAAGCAGGGAGAACAGTAATGCTTTGGGAGATGGAGAGTGCAAAACAGGTCTTAAAACACTCTCTGCTTTCTGGTACCAGGCCTTCTTGATTCCTGGTAATAATTCTGTCCTTTATAATTTAAGTCAGGCAGATTTCTCTTTGATCAAGGAAAGCCTTTTTATTTATTTTTTTTTAATCGGTACCGGGGATTGAACCCTTCAACCGCCTGCTTACAATGCAAGTGCTTATGCCACTGAGCTAAATCCCCAGCCCCGATCAAGGAAAGCCTCAAGAAAAAAACTTAACTTTCATAAAAATCCAAATGTAAAAGCAGTAACAAAAAAAAACAGTGTCCCACTAACATATTAAAAGAAAAAAAAAAAAAACAGGTCATGAAAGATTGAAATTGAGCTGTTAGTGGTCACTTACTAAATTATGCCACACGAAACGCTTAGCAACTCTCACATTCTACATTATATACTAAATGTTTTCAACAGTTCCTTGAGATCATTTGACAGGTGAGAGACAAATGAGTGATCACATGACACAGACCTTGAAATGGCAGCTAAATGATCTAAAACCTTTATCTCGCCCAGTGCCACACGACAGTACAGGTTAAATAAATATCTACAGAAAACCAAGCTCAACTGTTCCATTTCAATTCAAGATTCTAGATTTTAGTGTTTCCACATACTGACCTGCTGCAACCTTGACTTCAGAGGAAATTTCACTGGGACTAGGGATACCAAGGGAAGACTCTGCCTTCTCAATGACACTTGAAATACCTTGTCCTGATAAGACAAATAGTAACATTTTTCCTATTGGTTACCAAAACTGAAGAAACAAATCAAAAATCACAACTGCATATTTTTAAAACCGTCAAGACTGTAAGGCATGTTATTTTAACAATATGTAACTATTCTCTAGTATTATCTGCTTACATAAAATTTGATTCATCATCACCAAAGCCTAGGCTTACATAAACAATTCCTAGCCTTCAACTTTCTTATGAGAAAATGTTGCAAAGTCTAGTGGCAGAATGTAGGAGCCCATCATTAGCAATCATCCTGAACCTATAAACCCTCTGAGTAAACATGGAGGGAGGGATTACTAACAGCTTCATTTGGGACACATATCTGCAGCAAAGTACACACACAAATACTGAAATGAGCTTACCTACTGTAGCCACTGTCGCTGAAGCGGAGGAGAGCAAGGACTTGCCCCAGCTTCCCCAATAGCCCCATCCAGTCTGCGTTTCCTCTTTAGAAACAGTCTCCTATTTTTTCCAGTAATAAGAAAAACAAAAGACAATAGAAAATTACAGAAAAACCAGAACATACAGACAAGGTATCTAACTATTAACCAAAGTACAAAAGAACAAAACATATTATTTGGTTAACGAAATATACTACTTCAGCTAGACCTGGTGGAACACACCTGTAATCCCAGCACTCCGAGAGGCCGAGGCAGGAGGATCACAAATTCAAGCCTAGCGTGGGCAATTTAGCCAGACTCTGCTGTCTCAAAATAATGAAAGAAGGGCTGGGGGGTGTAGCTCAGTGCAAAGGTCCCTAGGTTCCACCTTGAGTACCAGAAAATCAATCAATAAATAAATAATGTAACTGACATGTATATGTTATCAGCATACAAGTACCATGTAGCCAAAACAACTAGTCATAATGGCACTCATAAAATGAGAAAAATGCACAGGTGTGGTGGTGCACGCCTGTAATTCTTGCATTGGGAAGCTGAGGCATGAGGATCGCTGCAAGTTTAAAGCCAGCCTGGGCTACACAGTGAGTTCAAGATCAGCCTCAACTATATAGAGAGACCCTGTCTGAAAAAAGAAAAAGAAAAAAAGAGAAATATATTTTATGGTTGTAAAAATCAAAGAAATGCAATCCTAAATATAGATTTCAAATGTCTTTGAACTGTACTACATTTTAATATTTTAAAATATACTCTACTGTGGGTACAACCTGTAATACCTGAACTTTTGAAGTTTCAAGGTCACTGGAAGGTTTGACCTCTGGTCTTCTCCCAGTGGATGCCGCAAGTTCTGATTCACTCTCTGGCATGGCACTGTGGTCAACAGACTCAGAATTTTTGTCTGACTCACAGTTTCCATCTTCAAGGGTACGGGATGTCTCAGCTATTACTGGAGTCTCAGTACCATCTTTACCTGACATGATTAGAACATCACCTGATAAAAAGTCCAAGAAAAAATTTATTTTTATAGGCAGATATAAGAAATAATAGAGACAGACCCCATATATCTTCACTGAGTTTCCCTAGTAACACTAGCATTCAAAACAAAATCACACCAGGAAACTGACACCAATGTAATCCACCTTACTCAGATCTCACCAGTTTTATATGCACTCACTTCTGTGTACATAACTCTATAAACCCTATCATAAATACAACCTCCTTTGGTATCAATTGGTTCCAGGATCCTCTGATAATGGTCAAAATACGTGATAGTTAAGTTCCTTATACAAAGCACTGTAGTATTTACATATAACCTACACACATCCTCTAACATACTTTAAAATCTGTAGGCTACTTATAATACCTAATGTAATGTAAATGCTATGTAAATTGATGCTATAACACACTGTTTAGGGAATACTGACAAGAAAAAAATCTGCACAGGTTCATCACAAGTGAATATTTCCCTCACATGTTTTCAATCTGCTGTCAATTGAATCTACTGACGAGGAACCCACAGATGCACAGATTCTTGTGACCATCACCACAGTCAAGAAACAAAAGTTTCACCACAGGGATTCCTTATGCTATCCTTTTTTCTGCCACAATCACTTCCCGTACTTTTTCCAATCCACAGCAACTAACCACTAATCTGTTCTGTCTCTTTAAAATTTTGTCATTTTATATTATACAAATCACCCAGAATAATATCTTTTGAGACTGACTTTTTCATTCAGCACAAAAATCTCCAGATCCATTTAGGTTGTATCAACAGTTCCTTTTTATTTCTAAGTAGTATTCCACACTATAGATAATCGCAACTGTTTATGCACTGAAGGTTGTCTGAGTTGTTCCATTTGGGGCTGTAACACAAATGAACTATGAAAGTTCATGTACAGATTCTTACAGAAACATGAGGTTTCTTTCCCTGTGGACTAAATAACCGAAATGTAAACAATGGGTTACTATGGTAAGTACCTGTTTAGTTTTATATGAAACTGTTACATTCTTTTACACAGCAGTATGCTATTTTACTTACCCCAGGATTGTGTAAGTGATCAAGTTCCTTTCCCTTCTCTTTCATGTTAGCATTAGTTTTTATTTAAATCATTCAGATAGCTAAGTGGTAGGATCTCACTGTGACTTTTCAATTGCATTTAATGATGTTGAACATCTTTTCATCTGCTTATTTGTCACCTAAACAACCTCTTCCGTGAAATGCCTATTTGCTCACCTGTAATTAGAAATAGCTGGTGGTTTTGGCTTTGGGGATTTGCCAGGAGGTGTGTTCTGACTTTTTTGTTTATTTGGTTGGTTGGTTGGTTTTGCTGTTGAATTTTGAGAACTCTATTCTACATTCAAATCCTCTGTTTAAAATGCAGTTTGACAGCCAAAACATACATGAAAAAATGTTCCACATTAACCACTCAAGAAATGCACATTAAAACAGCAATGAGATTCCATCTCTCTCCAGAAAGAATCACTGTGTCAAGCAATCAACGAATAATAAATGCTAGCAAGGCTGGGTGGGGAAGGGAGAACCCTTCTAGACCTAGCTGTTCCCTTTCTAGGTATCTTCCTGAAAGAGATAAAGACATCATACATAGTGGTTTATGCATTCCCATGTTGTGGCAGCACAATTTACAATAGCTAAATCTTAGAAGCAACCTATTTGTCCAACAGTAGATGAATGGATAAAAAACATGTGGTATTTATACACAATAGAGTACTACTCTGCTATAAACACAAACTTGAGTCATTTGTAGGAAAATGGATGAACCTTGAGGCTCCATTAAGTGACGTACTCACAGGCTTAAATAGCGCATGGTTTCTCTTATACAAGGAACTGAATATATAAATAAACTGCAAAGGAAAGACAAGGAAAAAAGATACGCTGTCCAACAAGGACAACATATCTAAGCGTGTGCCTTGATTTAGTATAATTGTCTTTTTTATTTTACAGGTTATTTGCCTGGAAGTATGGCTGCTAATCTTATGTATGATAATCAACTTCATAAGGACTTACAGGGTAAGTAAATAAATCTGAAGGCCAAAAGGGAGAACAGGGAAAAAGGAACTGAGATGTATTATACACACATACCAATTCCCCATGATCAATCTAGTCACTCTGTACTGTAAACATGTAGTAAAACACTAAGCAATTTTTTTCAAAATAAAATATAGTTTGCAAATGTCATATCCCAGTTTATAGCTTATCTTTTCATTGTCTTCATGCCATCTCTCACAGAGCAAGTTTTTAGTTTCATTGAGGTGCGGTATCTCCTTTTATTAAGTATCTTCAAAAATCTTATCAATCATTACTACTTCAATTTTTCCAGAAAGATTAGTAAAGCCACAGATAACATTTCTGTCAGATCAGCTGTGAATAGCCAGTAAAGTGCTTTGGCAGTTAAAGACAATATAGTATTGGTACCATTACAAAAAGCAGATACTAATTTTCAGGATAAACAAGCATCACCAAATAAATGTATTTCACACAACTACAGATAGCTATAAACACATGCCCTAGATATGAACAAACACAGTTTAGTTGAGTATGTGCTTAGCGCAGAACAGACTCAATCTATGGCATCAAACTGCTTGTAACATAATAGAGAAGACATATTACCAACTAAAACAGACTGGACACAACACTATAAAAGATGGAAGAAAGCTGGCCATCAGATTCAGGGGACATAACTCATAAACAGTACCTGTGATAATCCTAAAGCAGTGCTCATCAACTGGGAATCTTCGAGTGCCAAACCCAGACTACAGATGTTTTTAATTGGACTGCTGAGTATTTTTAAAATTAGTTGCTAACACTTAAAAATCAGACTTCATATAAAAATACGTTTCCAAGTTTTCTTGTAAAACTGGAAGATATGGCAACCCCAGCATACATCTGACTGGGTAATAACTACCTTAGCTAACGTGCTCTTGTGTCCTTTCAGGTAGGGCAAAGCTCTCCCACAGTCCACAATTCCCACTCAAATCCACTTCATTGCGTATTTTAACTTCATCACTCCCACTGGCATTCTTGTCTGCAACACTGCCTTAAATTGCGCTTAAGATTTTGAAAGATGAACGCGCCAATGAGACAATTTAAGAGTATGGAAACAACACAAGAGAAAGCTTACAAGGATAGGAGATGGAGTCCACTGCCTGGAGTAGCTAAAGCATCAGGGAGATGATGATGGGGAAGCACAGGGTTAGGTAGATTAAGGCAACACCACGAAGCCTAAACCATGTGGGTATATTACATGTTATACAGCCCCAAAAAGAAAGAACACACGGAAAGAATCCAGCTATAACTATCAAATGGACGCACAAATCAACTTGAAATACATTCTCTTGCATCTACACAAACCCCACTCTGTACCAAGCTCTGGAGATACAGAACAAATGTAAAATAATTTCTACCCCACTTAATTAAAAGGCCCATTTAATAATAAAGACTATAGGGGCTGGGGATTTAAGCTCGGCGGCATAAGCGCCTGCCTTGCAAGCAGGCAGTCGTGAGTTCGATCCCTGGTAACGATAAAAAAATAAAATAAAATAAAAAATAAAGACTATACAGCCTTAGACAATATTCAGTACTTTTGTGGATAAGTAAATATTCGTTTTACTATTTTTCCTTATGTTCTCAGATTACTGCACATCACAATTTTATATATACTATCCTACACATATAATACAGTAAATGTATTATATAAATTTAATTCGCATTATAAAAGACTGAAAGACATATTCCAAAATAGGAAACACTTCCATTTGTGCAAAGATTCTACAAGCATCTAGAATTTACCAGAACAGGAGATTTTTGGGGGGTATTGAGAGCTGTTTATTCCTGTTATAAGAACAGCTGTAGCATCTCTGTTCTAAAGAGCTTCATAACCTGGGGGAGGGGGTAATACCAGATACATGCAATCACACTAAAGTTTTTGTAAGTTTTCCAGATGTTCTATAGTGTACGTTTTCAGAATTGGAGGAGAAAAGACTCCCAACGACTGGAAACTCAGAAGTAAAATTAAAGGCACACACACACACACACACACACACACACACACGCTGCTCCCCGACCCAATCGAAAACAAGGGCGGCACAGTCAACACTACAAGCCCTGGCTCCGCAGTCACTTTGTTCCAACCCCAGACTGGACAGATTGTGGCCAAGCCAGGTCACTGATCTGCACCTCGGCTTCCCGTCAGGCGGGGCGCTGAGTCGATTCCCAAGGGAGCCCCGGGCCACTGACAGCCACGAACCCGCTGGCAGGTTAACAGCTGCTGTCTCCTCACTCCGGTCACTAGGACGGCCGCCGCCAGGCGCCCAAACACGCTTTCTCGCGTCCCCCGCTCCCAAGAGCAGGTCCCATTACGGAGTTGCAGGGCAAACGCCCGCGCCTGAGCTCCGCGATGCCCACAGCGACAGGCAAGGACCGCAGCGCCTCGGCAAGAGAAGGCTCTCACAACCCCGCGCCCCACCGTGAGGAGACCGACGCCCACCCTCAGGCCTCCCCAGCCCCAGCGACCTCAGCTGCTGCAGGGTCCCGAGAACTCGCACCGCCCAGGAAATCCCGCTCGGAGGCCACCTCCTCCCTCACCGCACCCAGCGCCGCCGACTCGCCGCGCGTCCGATCCCGGAAGTACTCCTTTCGCTCGGAGGCGGGGCGCGCCTGCCCAAGAGCACTTCCGGGTCAGGCAGCGACTCGGCGGAAGGAGTTTTGCTACGGATCGGTGAGTGAAGGCTTGCACCCGGTAGCCTCGCGGGAGGGACTGGGGGCGCACAGGCGGGGGACTTAGCTGATGGGTCGGTGTCGGGGTTGCCCATCAAGCCAAGACTGAGCGGAAACTCCGCTTTCCTGTCACTGACGTTTTGGTGTGCAAAGCAGGCCACAAGTCAACCAAAAGGTGGTAATTAAGTGCTTTAAAGAAATTTGGGCAGGATAATGGAGTAGAACGAAGTGAGGGAGTAATAAGTCCTATGCAAATCTGGAGTTGTGCATGCTAAGCAGAAGAAAAGGCCACAGCGGGACAGACTTAGCGAAGCCAAGGAGAAGGAGGAAAGGGCCACTGCTGCTGCCGCACCTGGTGCAGAAAGGGCAGGATGGGAAGGGAGATGAGGCCAGGACTTCAGCGCCAAGGCTTGCGGGCCTCGGAGCCTGCGTGAGGAGTTTGACTTTTATTTGGAACTCAGAGCAGAAAAATGGCAACCGCTTTTTCTGACTTTCATTATCCTTCGCTCAGCGGAAGGATGCAACTCATTTGCCCTTGGGCAGGGGAATGCAAGAAACCCAGACTCTCAGAAAAGCATTCAAGTAAAGACGTGGATAATTAAATCCGAGGGGTAAGACGCTCGGCTTCTACGAATCTAAATTTGCCATCTCCTTTTAATCCCTTCAGAAATAACCCTTTAACATCGACATAGAATCTACCCTTTCTAAAACCTTTTAGGTATTTTTATTTGCTTTCTCTTAAATTTAGGTTTAGTATACATGGGAGCTTGCTATAAATGCCTACTCCAAAAGAGAAAGAAACGTATAAGTATAAAGTGAATACTTTCGCTGTTGCAATAGAAAATAGATAGGATTGAGATTTAAGTATGTTATCCTGGTAAACTACTTAACAGTTCTCTTAATCTTTAAAATGTTGCTGTTCTCAAGGTTTTGGGTCGTAGAATTTTTACATTATGAAAATTTACGGGAGGCGTAGTGGCGCATACCTGTAATCCCAGCAATCAGGAGGCTGAGGCAGGAGGATTGTTGGGAGTGCAAGACCAGCCTGGACTACAAAGTAAGTTCAGGGCCAGCCTGAATTACATAGGTAGAGACAAAAAGACAAAAAAGGAAACTTACTGAGAACTTCAAAGAATTTTTGTTTAGGTCGGCTATAGCTAACAGAATTTGTCATATTCAACACCAGAACTTTCAGAAAGTTCATTGTAAAATAGTAGACTCATTACATGATAACATACTAGCATTTTTTTCTCATTTGATCATTACACATTGTTTAAATATATTGAATTATTACATGGTCCCCCATAAATTTTTATTATTATATGTTAATAACATAAGGAATGTTAATATTGACATGTACTTGAAAAGATGTACTCAGATATTTAACAGTCAGTGCAGATTATACAGTGTTCAAAACTGTTGACATTATATACGGGTGAAGTGTTACTGCAAAACACATAAAATTACTTCTTTGATTTTTTTTAACATAGGCACAATTGTTAACTCCCAACCTGTAAATGTCAGATACAACAAGTTCATGTTCCTTGAAATCAAACAACTCTCCTTAGAACAGTGGAGGTTAAGAATAGGAAGCATTTAGAGAGGCAGAAGGAGTCCTGAAAGTTGGTTGCCAGAGATCCCACCTCTCTTAGTAAGTTTTATAGAGCAAATCAAGAGGTAGGTACATTATGGGTCAAAACTATGATCAACCTGTAAGATTTCAAATATAGCTGCTTAGGTAATATTGAGGCACTAGCGAAGCAGGTCATCTAGGAAGTATATGTGGGAAGCACAAAGACATTTTTAGGAAGGATGGGTCAGGAGGTACTGTTTATCCACCTCAATGACTAATGTCTGTCTAGGCTTTAAGGACCAAGTGATACCAGTTAGAGTATAATCTTCTTAAGTTATCGCTTATTATAGGGTGTGATGACACACCCCTGTTATCCCAGCACTTGGGAGGCTAAAGCAGGAAGATTGCCCTGAGTTCGAGGCCAGCCTGAACTGCATAGTAAGACTCTCTGTCTCAAAAAAAAAAACCTTACACTCCAGGGAAGCATGTAGCCCTGATCATTCCATGTTCGTCTTGAGGCCTGGCCTTTCACACAATCCCGCCAGAGTTGTACTGTGTTTTGCTCTGCACTGACTCCCTAAGGGACCTAGCCCTGTCTGACTATGATGTTTCAACCTAACTTAGCTGCCATCTCTAATAGTAGAACTAATACAAGGCTCAGCATTTTTCCTTCTTTTAAGTTTTTATTAGTACATATTTGTAGTCCATGGTTACATTCATCCTGAGGAGTTGATATATGTACAAAACACGTGTTAATTCTTTTTACATGCCCTCTGCCACCCTTCCCTCCCAGCTCATTTTTTCCCTGCATTCTTCCCATTCTCCTTCCCTCTTTTCCCCTATCATCCATCTTTTATTTACCTGTTTATGTATATTTTGGATTGCTCATATAAGAGAAACCTTGCAATATTTAAGCTTGAGTATCATTGATTCCACTTAACATTATGGTCTCAAGATGCATCCATTTTCCTATAAATGACTCCAGTTTATCCTTTATGGCTGAGTAGGACTCTATTTTACATAAATACCTCATTTTCTTTATCCATTCATCTATTCATGTACAAAGTGGCCTCTTCCAAGATTTAACTATTTTATATCGTGCTGCTATAAACATGGGTGTTCATGAATCACCGTAATATGCGTGTCTAACTCTTTGGGGAAGATTCCTAGAAGAGGAATAGCTGGATCCAGTGGAATTTCTGTTTTTAGGTTTTTGCAGAATCTCCATACTGATTTTCATAGCAGTTTACCAATTTACATTCTCAGCAACAGTGAAAAAGGATTCTTTTCCCCCACAGCCTCAGCAGCGTTTGTCGTTATCTGATTTCCTGATGATAGTCATGCCTTCTGTACCAGCATTTCTTTAAAAAATATTTTCCAAAACAAAAATGCTGAGAATGGCGGTTTTACATTTTTTGCAAATCTGTTTAATTTCTGACTTAGGAGAAAAGAACTGAGTTTTTCTTTCTTCTGCATTCTTTTAGAGTAGCACTGATTACATCGCTTTTGAAAAATTGTACCATGTTGTAGAAGATTGAAAGTGAAAAGGGCAAATGGCCTCGTGGGGATGGTGGGGGTTTGGGTTTTGGTTTTGGGGTGGGGTGTGTGTGTGTGTGTGTGTGTGTGTATTTTTTTTTTTTTTTTGACGGGTTTTTGTTTTGTTTTGTTTCTTGAGGCAGGGACTTGCCACATGATTTAGGATGGCTTTGAACTCACTGTGTAGCCCAGGCTGGCCTGAAAGAACAGTCATCCTGCCTCAGCCTCCTGGATGCTGGCATTAGGGGCATGTGCCACCACACCCAGCTAAATGTCTTAGTATTATTAAAATAGTTTTGAAAAACTCAGAGACACCCAAAAATCCCTGTACCACACTTTGAGAATTGTTGAATTATTATATGGTTATATAACCATCAAAAGAAGTATGGACTTGATTTGTAAATCAGTAAAACTACAAGTGCATTTAAAATGCACATTCCTAGACCCTCCCCTCTAGAGTTACCCAGTCAGTAAATCTGCGTAGGCCCCAGAAACCTGCACCTCTGGCAGGTACTGCAGAAGGAAGCACTCTGAAAGTTGCAGTCTGAGAAAAACAAAAATGAAATTCTTGAGAGTATTCTGCTCTTAAAACTGGTTCCTGTCTTTTGAATCTCTTCATTAACAGTTTTTAGGGACTGAGGCTGTGGAAAGTTAGTAAGAGGTTTGTACCAGACACCTTTCTGACTACCAAGTTGGTGGGTATCTGAACACAGTGTTGATCACCTGTTACAGGAGTGGCCCTTTGCCAAGGACTGAAAATGTTTATAGGCTGCCATTCATAAGCTTGTCATCTCTGATCAGATAAACTGGTAAAAGAGGGACACTGCTTTAAGTCTTAGAGTATTTTCAGTGTTTTTGAGGAATCCCCATACTGATTTTCATAGCAATTTACCAATTTACATTCTCAGCAATAGTGAAAAAGAACTGACAAAGCAAAAGAAGCTCATCTAAAGAAGGCAGTGGTGCTGAAAAGCCCCTTTCCCTTGAGGGCCCGCCCTGCATGTTCTTTGTGTATTTTAAATTCTGCTTAATCAACCTCTATGTCTCTACCAAATAAAGAGGATGGGGAATTTAGCTAAGAGGGCTTCCTGAATAGAGTGAAATTACTGTGATGCTATAGAGAGAGTAAAATTGCCACAGGAGCGTATCAGTAAGGAGGTACAAAAGAAACAAGAACTCTAAGGTGAAAAGTTATTTGCAGAATCAAAAGTGATAATCAAGGCTTTGTGCCAGGATAAGAAATCCTTGATTATCACTTTTGATTCTGCAAATAAGTTGTAGGAAGTTTGTAGGATTTAATCAAAAAACAAAATAATGATAATCCACCTCCAGATAAGGAAATTAAGACAACTAGAGAACATCAGGGCTTTGTGACCAAAGACCATACTGAACTTCTGAATCCATTTATTTATTCAGCAAGCAATTATTGCACATACACACTTGGTTTTCTCATAATTTCTTTTGTGCCAGCTGGATCTATTTTTGAGAATTATGGCACTAGACTCGAATTTTTAGCCCATGTCAAGGACAGTGAAAAATCAGCAGATTTTTAAATTGACTTGGATTTGTATTTCAAGCCAGTCCTGAGAGGAGCAGTGTTTAGATGCATCTAAGGGGTAAGACTGAAATTTGAGAGTCCTGTTTTGTAACTGAAAAGAATGTTGTGCTAAGAAAGGATGAAAGGACAGTGACAGTAGGTCAGGGACAGTAAGAACTAAAAGCTATGAAGAAAGCCACGTAATAGCAATGGCTTATGTTTATAATTTAACAACATCCATTCATCTTACCCTCAAAACTACCCTGTGAAGTGGCTACTACTGTATTACTAACTTTAGGCTACAGATGTGAAAGCTCTGACTTCTGGAGTCTACAGCTTTATCCAGGGATCAGGTGGATGACTCTAGTGCCCATTGTCCTTAGCCACATCCTCTAATTTTGGTATTTCAAAGGCAGAATAATTTTGGGCTACTGTCCAACCTATGCATATGCTAGACAAGAAGATCTAAGGACAAGAGTGAGTTATTCCATTTTAGATTTTTAAGCGTTAGATATTAGGGTATGTTTCAGACTATAGAGCAAAAGTTAGGGGTAGAGAGGTTGTAAGTTTAAGCCTGTTTTGTGAGTATTTGTATCTTTTTCCTCTAATAGCTTACTCAGCAAATGTTTGTCGCAAAAAAAGCACAAAAGCTACAGGTGCTGTACAATGAAAATAATCTTGGATTTAGAGCAAAGTTCAAATAAAGATAAATACAGATGATAAACTTGTATGTGGCATTGGTACGGTGGCCCACACCTGTGATCCCAACACTCTGGGAGCTCAGACAAGAGAATCGAGTCCAAGGCAGCTCCTGACCTCACAGTGAATTTTAAGTCTGGCTAGGATTACATAGTGAGACCCTGTCTCCAAAAACCTGTATGTAAAAGCCTCTCAGAATAATACTTTCTCTTTGAAAATGGCTTTTTTGTGTTACAGACCCCTATAACACTGCTTTGCAATAAGCA